TTTGTATTTTCGAGTTTCTATTTTAAGAAATTCAAATGATTATGATTTCTTTTTTTTTTGTAAAATGTTTAATTTTAAGGTTTTTTAAAATAGAATGGCAATCTGGTAATAATATTCATTGTTTGGACAAAATGGTATAACACCAACTTTCTAAGGTTACTCTAGTAAGCTGATGAATATGTTAGGCTAAGTTTGTCAATACATTAACCTTAAGGATTAGTCTGAGGAATTTTCACTATATATAACCACTAGAGATTACTTTAAGAGAATATTGACTAGAATGACTTTACAAAATGGTCTGTTTGCTCATGTAATTTAGCCTCCTTACATTTTTGCTACACTAACCTTACTAGCAGGGAAAAGACACTAAGGTCCCTTACATAAAAAAAAACTGTTTTTGTTGATTTTTTTTTAAATTTCGTAAATACATAATTATACACAGATATATAATATACATGAGACCTATATACATAAATATATAATATATATACATAAATATATCAAAAATACAAAAAAAAATAAAAATTTGGAAAATAGAATTTAATTGATACATAAATATATACATAAATGTATAATATATGAGACCTATATACATAAATATATAATATATATACATAAATATATCAAAAATACAAAAAAATCAAAATTTGGAAAATAGGATTTAATTTAGGGATGAAAAATAAACTGTCATTTCAGTTTATTTCCCTCCCCGAAAAAACCCTAGAGGCGATTTCGACTCTCTGCTCCTCCTTCTTCTCCGACGATGACGAAGAATCTATAGATCCTCGGTGTTTTAGTTTGTCTCCTATCCTCCGTCGTTCTTACCAATGCTTTCGTCATCTCCGGTAAGTCATTTTTTTTGTTTTCATTTATATTTCGTTATTTTTTTCGCGGTCTTTGCCTCCGTCACTGTTCTCCGTCTTTGCGGCTGTCAGCGACATCATACAGGCGGGAACGGACCTATGCGGTGAGGAAATCTGTAACCCTATTTTTTTGGGTGTTGCAGGAAACAGGTGTTTGGCGGTGGTTCCGACGGTGGATTGTCGAAGGGTTACATGTGAGTTTTTATAAACTTAGTCGATATATCTATTTTTGTTAAGTGATGGGTTTGGTAGACTTGTTTTTGCAGTATATGATATATATTATATTTGATAGATTTGTATCATTGTATATGATAGACTTGTATCATATATAGGATTTTTGAGTTTTGCTATTCGGATAGGTTCGTTTCTAATTTTTGAGGTTCGTTGATATAAATGAATGATAGAGTTGTTTCATGTTTCATGTATGTTAAAACCCAATGGTAGATTTGTTTCATGTTTGTTAAAACCGAATGGTAGAGTTGTTTTATTTTGGTTTTAAGTTGCGTTGTTTACTTTAATTATATGGTAGAGTTGTTTGTGATATATATTGTATGTATGATAGATTTGTTGGTGTATATGATAGACTTGTTTGGCAATGTATCATAGACTTTTTTAAAAATCTCTTATTTTCCACAGATGGCTTCTTCCAGTGATTCAAATGATTATCCACCAAGAATGTTTCAGCCAAGAAAGTCACCTTTGCAGGAGCATAGCTTTCAATTATGGCGCCCACCTGACTGAATTAAGGAAGTTGAAGGAGGCTATTGGCGATGATGTGTACTTCTATCGTTGTATATGATAGACTTGTATCACATATGGGATTTTTTAGTTTGCTATTCGGGATAGGTTTAGATATGATAGACTTGTATCGTTGTATATGATAGACTTGTATTGTTGTATATGATAGACTTGTATCACGTATGAGATTTTTGAGTTTTGCTATTCACACATAGCTGAATTGAATATCAAAACGGCGCTGATCTGAACCCAGATCTTCGTAGACGACTTGTCGAAAATCTCCATACTCGATTTCCCGATCAACAGTTACAACTCGACATCTTTTGCTCTTATCAACCAAAAACAAATATCGAGTTTTAGCGAATTCTCACTTCCCACATACTAAAAAAATCTCGACCATGCATGAAGAAGACATGATAGAGGATGAAGTACAAAGAAAAAAACAGCAAAAGAGGCAAAGAGAGGATGGCGGCGTCTACCCTTGTATAGTTGGATGCGGTGATTGGGACAACAAATTCGATAATAACTGCAGGACAAAGTTGTCATTTCACATTATTAAGTCTACCCTTCTGTAAAGTATATATCTCTATCAATTTTCAATATGTCTATCAACATTTCAATAAGTCTACCAACATCGACGTTCCCAAACGAAGGATATGTCTATTATAAGGGTGAAATATATATATTTTTGGCCAATATGTCTATCAATATCAAATATATCTATTACATACTCAAATATATATATCACACATCTAAAACCTCTTACTGAATTTTAAGTCTACGTAACTGAAAATAAGTTTACTTCTCCATAATAAGTCTACTATTTTTAAGTAAGTCTACCATGAATAAAACAACACTATCATAACGAAAAAAATAACACTGTAGTAGATACAATATCTTCTCATATAAGTTTATCTTCAGGATAAACAAGTCTATCATTAGAGGTAACAAGTCTACCAATTCTGGTCAATAGAACTTCGAAAAGTCAACTTAGACTCACTAAATCTACCAACACGAAAATAAAACTGCTTTGAAGACAAACAAGTCTATCAACAATCAAACATGTCTATCAACAAAATTAACTCTACCAAACGATTAAAATAAGTCTATCAACATAAGTCTACCAACATTTAACAAGTCTACCAACATCGGGAAAAATCTATCATCGAAAAATTATGTCTACCAATTTTTACATAAATCTATCAGAAAATTTAAATCTATTATAAAGGATGGTAGACTTAATTCTCGACGCGTGATTTGTACTGCTGACGTGGAAAAAAAAAGTAATGGCATTTTCGTAAATACGTTTTTTGTCATCAAAGCGTCTCAAGGGTAAAATGGGGTTTTTTTAAAAAGCAATGTTGTTCTGGTTATTTCGAGAAGGGAAAAAACTTTAAAAATACCTCACTTTATAAACATTTGCTAGAAAAATACCCAGACTATTAACGCTATCTGAAAAACACCTAACTTTGTTTTGGCTACCTATTTAATACCCGAACATTCAAAAACAGTAAGTTTGACTCCCCATTTTTAACTTCGTTTAGCCGTTAAACGGAAACTCTAATACAGTGTTAATTCTCTGTCAAAAACCTTTAACAGCACGTGTTTAATCAAAGAAAAAAAGACAAAAATACCCTTTGTCGAGGAAGAAGTCGAACTGATTCCCCCCAAGTGAAACCTAAATCCATCGTTCTTCCCCAAATTGAAAAACCTAAATCAATCTTCATCACAACGACTTCGAATTCGATCATCGAAAAGAGATTATCGTCTGTCAATAGGAGGAAGTGATTTTGCGAGAGTTGCGAAATGAGGTATGGTTTTAAGGATTTAGAAATTTGGGTTGAATTCTGGGTTTAGGTGTGTGTCGTTTATGAACTTTTGGTGTCTTCACTAATTCTCTGTTTGATAATGCAGTGATTCTTTCAAAGTAAATTTGCATTATGGAGGGCGTATGTCTATAAAGGATGGGAACCGGTTATACAGTGGAGAATCCGTGGAGGAGGGTTTAGTCGTCGATCCAGATTTCATGTGTTGGAGCATTTTTGATGAGTACTGCGAGAAGTATGAACGGTTGTGGTACAAGCTCCCGCATCAGAGTTTGGAATCAGCAAAGCATATTGATGAACTCTCGTCTGATTTAGAGTTAATGAAGATGTGCTCTGAAGCTCTTGTAGGAGGAGAAGTAGATGTCTATCTTGAAAAAACTGTGGGTGAACCTGTAGCAGAGAATGCAGAAAGAGAGAAGGAAGGAATCGACGAGGAGGAAGGAGCCGAGAAAGAGGAAGACAACTTATTTCTCAACCAGAGTTACTTAATGTCTTTTCATCGCTAATTAAACACGTGCTGTTAAGGTTTTTAACAGGGAATTAACATCGTATTAGAGTTTCCATTTAACGGCTAAACGGAGTTAAAAATGGGGAGTCAAACTTACGGTTTTTGAATGTTCGAGTATTAAATAGGTAGCCAAAATAAAGTTAGGTGTTTTTCAGATAGCGTTAATAGTCTGGGTATTTTTTTAGCAAATGTTTATAAAATGAGGTATTTTTAAGGTTTTTTCCCTTTCGAGAATGTTAAGTTGTTTTGCTAATTTTACCTAACATTTAAGTTACGACAGCCATTCTCCATTACTTTAAAGATTTTTAACTTTGAATTTTTAGTTTCTCGTAGCTCAAATGTGTGTGCTAATTCCCTTGCAAAAATAAATGTGAGCACATAAAAGTACCTCATTTTTCCATGTAAATCAGGTTGAGCCAATAAAAGTTATCTCCCTCGGCACAATTGTTTTATCATCAAATATTTGTTTTAATCTATTTGGGGAGTAATAATAATCACTAATCTTTTTGATACTGAAAACATAACAAGCGAAAAGTTTAGTCACATGTCGTTTTCTTCGAGTATGGCAAATATACAATCTGAAGTCTGTACTGCCATAATGTCAAGTAATTTTCGATCTTAATTTGAAAAGGAGAAAGAAAACGAAAAAAAAAAAAAAAAAAAAAAAAGAAAACGAAACTGGCTCAATCAAAGAGAGAATATATGAACATGAACAGAAAATACCTCAAACTGGGGATCAAATACCCAAGCGTCTTTGTCGGAAAGCCAATAATGGGCCCAATCAGGCCCTAAAGGAATGTAGAGATTTTCATCACTTGGGACCCCAATCCCTTAGATTAAACATTAACTCTAATTAGGAAATTATTAATTTTTTGTCGGTATTTAGCAATCAATTTTAGGATACTTTTTGACGGATATAAATGACCAATATGGCATACAGTAGTCATGTAATGTCGGTCGAAGACTTAAAAGCCAGCTACAATAATAACAACCCCCACATGTTGATGCTTGTGCAGAGCATTTTTCTATTTACATATATAAGAGAAGTCTTCGCTCTTACAAAAAGTGAGTGGGAAATAACTCAATTCCACAACACAACCCAACACGCATTCTCTCTTCTTCCTTTTTTTCCTTTCTTAATTTTTTTCCTTGTCAAATCATTTTCCTGAATTTTCGGTAAATGTAACGGACTGTGTTCTTTAGAGAAACCGCGTTTACCGGCGAACCGGCTCTTCCTCTAGCCGTAACTCGACGTAGGAGAGATCTACCATTTGGCGACGCCGCCGACTCTGCCGCTTTTGGGAGCTGCGAGGAGGGATTTTTTTCTACCATTGTCGAAAAATCAGCTCTTTTTCTTCTCCAGATCCCTAATCGGTTTTTGTTTAGCTCAATCTGTCTCACCGGTTCGTTCTCTCTTTCCTTGATTCGATTCGTTTCCTTGATTTATTGGCCTGATGTTTTGAGTTTCGAAGATCTTCTTCTTGATAGATGGATGATTCAAAATTGACTGAGTTTTTATAATATCGTCTCAAAAATTGCTATAACTTCGTTGGCACAGATCAAAACACTCTTATCATGTGTAATTTTACTTTCAGGTTGGTGTTAAAAGGGTCGGTTTTTAGAAGCTATGGTTCTTGATGGGATTGTATCATCGCCGTTAAGGAGGCCACATGCCCTGAAGAAGCAATGGGAGGACTTGGGTAGCTGCTCCACTGTTGTCCAGCGGCATCGCTTCCTTTTAACCGCTATGCTTCTTTTAGCATTCCTCTGCACCATTTATATCTACTTTGCCGTCACATTAGGCGCCAGGCACTTGTCCTGTTCAGGAATGACCGGCAAAGAAAAGGCAATGTGTCAAATGGAACACGTCCAAGCCACTTTCTCCAAAGGAAAACTTAAATTCTTCTAGGCTCAAAGCTGATAAAACGCAATATTGTATAAAACATTCGTTTTCTCTTGTCCTTGTATTGCAATGTGTCTGTAACAACAGTCTTAAGAATGGCTTCTTATGTTTAATCAGAATCTACATTTTGCTTGGACCATGTCCCAAGGTTATCCCCACAATCATTGTACAAATTGATATTTCCTGTAATGCTCAAAGGTTATATTGTGGAACATTGACAGACTTAGTTTTATCATACAATTAAACAACAATCTGTTACAATTTTTGTTGTCTTATCACAACATTTCATCATCACCATGTTCGTTGAGGAACGACCAGTGGTTCAACATCTAACTTGGGCGATAAATCAAAGAGCGATGCTGGAGCAGTCATGTCGACGCTCCAAGAATCATCTATGTTGATTTCCATCGCGGTTTCTTCTTCTTCTTCTTCCTCCTCTTCGATATGTACCTCCAAATCTTCAGGTGATGAACGGATCCTCTCAAGCTCAATCGAGACCTCTCTCATGTTTGGCCGTTTCTTTCCTTTCAGGCTTAAACACCTTCTGGCAAGTTTCGCCACAGCCAACACCTGTTCCAGCTTGCAGTCTTCTTTGATCCGAGCATCAACAATATCTAGAACTCTGTTCTGTTTCATGGCCTCAATGAAATGAGATGCAAGCCCTCTGTTTTCTTCAGGCCGCATAACAGAAAACGGTTTTTCTCCGGTTATCAGCTCAACCAAGACAACCCCAAAACTATAAACATCACTCTTATCCGTAAACTGGCTAGTTTGAAAGTACTCTGGATCCAAGTATCCAAAAGTACCTGCAACTAGAGTTGTCAGGTGAGTTTGGTCTATGTTTATAGATCTTGAAGTACCAAAATCCGACACCTTGGCCCTGTACTTGTCATCCAAAAGTATGTTTGTGGTCTTGACATCTCTGTGATAGACCGGAGTAGATGCAGCCGAGTGCAAGTAAGCAAGTGCTCCTGCAATCTCTACAGCAATGCGCAACCTCACATCCAAAGTCATTGTGTAATCATCAGAATCATCGTGAAGCCGCTTGAATAGGTCTCCATTTGGAATATGCTCATAAACCAAGATAGGAACCTCTGTCTCGAGACAACACCCCATGAGTTTCACAATGTTTCTATGGTTAATCTGCGAGAGAACACCAACTTCGTTTATGAACTCTTCAACTTTGTCTTCATCCAAAACTTTAGATTTTTTCACAGCCACGATTCGTCCATCTACCAACATTCCTTTATACACCGTACCTTGACCTCCTTGCCCAAGAACCCTGCTCTTGTTGAAGTTATCCGTTGCTTTCTCCAGCTCTTTCGAGCTGAATATCCTCGATGTCTCCACACTGCCTCCTTCTTTTGTAGTCAACTGTTGTTTCAACAACAAGCCTCCATTACGTTTGAAGAACTTCCTCTTCCGGATGATCTTCCTTCTCTTCTTAATGAATTTAATCAATCCCCATATCACAAAAACCAAGAACAACAGTGCCAAAGCTAGAACAAGACCTGAACAGCGATAGAAACAAACCAAGAAACTCATTTCGATCACTTCGTTTTGCTGTGTTATACAATCTGAAAAAACAAAAATACTGTACCTTGAATCACAAGCTTGATCTTTTCTGTTTCCTTCGGCTCGCATCTAAACGATCCAGGGACGTTCACACAAGTTTGTTCTCCACAGCTGATTCGTCCTTTTCCTTCCTCACATTCGTCAATGTCTTAAGAAACAAAGAAAAAGCAAAAAAGGAGAATCAAATCAACAGATCGTACCAATGCATCCAATTAGACGAAGAAACGAACAAATCGTACCAATGCATCCACCAGGAAGATATGGATTCCCTCTGTAACCAATCTCATTGCAGTAGCAGTTACTGTAACCAAACCCAGAGAAGTAACCATACTCGCAAACGCAGCTCGGTGCGCTAGTGTAAATCCCAGTTTCCGTCAAATTCACACATCCCACTGGATTCGCTAACCGAGAATCCGATGTATCAAAGAACCATCCAAGCTCAATCGCAGTATACCCTTTGGTATAAAACTGCTCCGGCTCCGTAACATTCGCCGGAGAGTAAGTCTCGTTCGTAAAGAAAGCGACTTTACAGTTTCCTCCTAGAGTTGAGTTACCACCGGAGCTTTCTAGGCTAACGCCGATTACTTGAGGCCTCTCTGCCGGAATCTTCGCCTGACAACATCTGTAACCACCGCAGATCTTGTCTAGACGAGTCTTACTTCCGTCGCAGCTCGATTCGCATCCCGTGATCTGAGATTCGATGTCGGTAATCAATGCTCTGGTGTCGCAACCTACTGAGACGAGTCGATTCGATTCGGTGATGAAAAAGGGGCTTCCTTTACCGGTGAGGTTTAAAGGAAGAGGCTTTTGGGCTCGTTGAGAGCAGCCTGAGGAAGTCACTGGAGATTTGATGTGAACGACTCCGTAGGAACTATCGATGCTGTTTCGAAGAGTGATGCTCACTAATTCTCTGTTGATCTTAGAGAGGAATGGAGCATGGGTCTGGCCGGAGCCGGAGGTGGTGGTGTCACATACAACCTCGTACCAGTTGTTGAGATAACAGTCTTTACGTCCGATTCCGAATGGGAAAGGAATTGAGACTCCTCCGCAGATTCGACTACAGGAACTTGAAGAAGAAGAAGAGTTGACATTTTGAGCTGTCGTTATCAAAGGGCCATCGATGAACAGAGTTAGGAGAGAGGGTAGAATACAAAAGAGAAGTCTCTTTAACTTCATTGTTTTCTTCGACGTTTTTGGTTTTCTGTACTCTTTTTCTTTTTATCGTAATGATTTTTGTATGCAATCGCAGCAATTATTGAGCCGCCTCGTTAGATGATGAACGTTAGTATGGAAGCAAGCAAAGCTTGACAAGTTGACAGTAGGATCACAACACAACGAACAAACAAAATTGTCAACGGTCAAAGGGATTCATCTTTTAGTTCGACTGAATCAATGAACCAAACGCAGATAATGTGCATACCTTCTGAAAGTTGACTATCATCAATAGAATTTCTTTTTATAAATTAGATTATCAGTTCCCATCACATTATCAGTTTACATGAATTAATTTATTTCAACTGGTTTTACCAAAATTGAGTCCAATAGTTATGCATGTTAAAGTCCAAGAATGATCCATTTTGGTCCGGGCCGATTAATAATCTCCATGGCCTATGGTTACACGCATCAGCACTAGTAAACATATAACAAGTGAATCTACGTCTTTTCTTTTCTTTTTTTACTTTTCTGCTAAAATATTTTAATTTCATCGTAATTTTTCCCTTATCTAAATCAAAAACGCAGCCTAAGTTATGGTAGGAAAGCATGTCACATGAGTATCTTTGAATTTTACAAGTATACAAGACTCTAGACCAGTTCTGCATTCAATCCCGTACCCTTTGTTGATATAAACCGAGCTGCTGACTGAATTGTCTCTTTCTACCATCTACACTAACTAAAAAAAATCTCTTTCTACAATCTACACTAACAAAAAAAATGAAAATTTTGAGTGACTGAATAATATGTACAAATGTTGGCTTTAACCCTTCAATGTGTCATTTTGCAATGCGGAGGTGTCAAGTTAAAAAGGTCCGGTTTAGTGAAGCCAAGTAAGCCCGACGGAGATTTTCTCTTGTATAAATTGGCTACCTTTACCACGGATAGAGAGAGAGCTATGGCGGAGGAGCACTTCGACGTTCTGACCAAATCCGGCGAGAAGACCGGCGTATCCAAACCCAGGCATGTGTGCTTTTCGCTTTCTTATTGAGATGTGATTTTAGCTGAATCAAACCCTTGTTTATACATTGAAAAGCGCCTTTTTTTTGTTGATGCTTCGTTGACCCGTTAACTAAACAAATCCGACGAAAAGGGTTTAAGAATCCGATTCTGGATGAAAACTCTTAAGGAATGTTGGAAGCCCTGAAAATACTTTCGCTCATAATTCCGAGTTGTTGCTTATTACAATGAATAGATATTATCAGTGCCATTCAATTTTTAACCTCAATTCGTCTCTTGGTGTCCTTTGTAGAAGTGAGATTCACAGAGATGGAGATTACCATCGTGCAGTTCATGTCTGGATCTTTGTGGAGAGTACTCAAGAACTACTTCTCCAACTCCGGTCTGATGATAAAGATTCATGGCCTGGACAATGGGACATCTCAAGTGCTGGTCATATATCTGCCGGTGATCCATCGCTTATATCGGCCCAGTAAGTAAAGTCTGATTCTGCACTCGCTTGCTTCTTCTTCTTCTATTCTTTTATCAAAGCTGTTGTCCAATTTTCTCTAGGCGAGAGCTCGAGGAAGAGCTAGGCGTCAAACTCCCAAAGGATGCCTTTGAAAAGATATTCGTCTTTCTGCAAGAGTGGTTTGTTTCTACTTTCGATTTCCTGGCTTATGTCTTTTTAAATCTTTTGTCTGTTGCTGAAAGTGTTTATCTTGATTACTATGGTCATTGCATCTTGAAGCTAGCTTGGTTTCTCTAATCTAAATTTCCACACTGACTTATTACTCTTGTCTCACGGAGATATTCTTATCCGACAGTGTGTTTCTTTTCTTTTGTGTGCTCTTACAGTGTCATAAACGATGGAAAATTCATAAATAATGAGTTCAACGATGTATATCTTGTTACAATTCTGGAACCAATCCCATTACAAGCCTTTACTCTTCAAGTGAGAATTTTTCTGTTACGACGCTTTAACTTAAAAAAAAAACACACGGATTCTTAAGTTACCTCACCATTTTTATTTTCTTATTTATATTAGAAAGAGGAAGTCTCTGCTGTAAAATACATACCTTACAAAGATTACAGAAACCTTCTAGCTAAGGAAGATCCTGCTTATGTGCCATATGATGTAAATGGAGAGTATGGGAAACTATTTGACATAATCAGACAGAGGTAAATTATCTCTTATTGGTCTTTTCTGAGTTTTTTTTCTTTTTCGTTTCTATTCATCTCTGATATACTCCACGATATAGATTAATACCAAATGAGAATTTTGTGTAACATATCCATAGCTAAGCTACAGGTTTTAGATGGAAAGTTCTTATCTTACAAAAGTGTGTTTCTTCTGATTTTGTTGAAGGTGCCAAGTGAACACTGAGGCTCGTAGTTTATTTCTGCAGAAGCAACTCCAGAGATATTCTCCTGTCACCCTCGAAGCCAAGGTATTACTTTGTCACGTACATGACTGAGATTTCTTTGTTTCAAATGTACCAAAAAACTCAGTATTCCGTTTCATATATGCATTTTGAGGTACCTTTCTTGACTATGCAGTTGACAGAACTTTCTGAGGCAGATCAGAAAGCGTTGGGTTTGATCGTGAAGGCTGCAAAAACTATTGACGATATTTTCTATGAGCAGGTTCTGTAGATCTGTAGTCTGAATTTTCTGTTCTGGTCGGGAAAATGAGATCTCATGGCTGAATTTAAACTAAATTAGATAAGTTATCTGTTATCCTAATCAGGTTTGGCACAGCAATCCAGCTTTAAGAGATTGGCTGAAGGAGCATGCCAGTGCATCAGAACTAGACAAATTAAAATGGGAGTACTTCCTGATCAACAAAAGTCCGTGGTAATTATCATTGAACTGGCTTTGTTCTAACAGCTAAGTTTTGGGATCTGTCAACGAAACTGGTGCAGAACTTAATAATGTGTTTGGTAATAAAAGTTGCAAAAGATGTTGAATATATTTCGTTAATGTAAATCGTATCTGGTGTGTAAACCTCATAACAATTAAGAGAGAGCACTACACGAGATTGATGTTTCGTTTTACCTTCATAGGTCGTCTCTGGATGAAAATGAACCATTCTTGACTACGGCGGATTCAGCTGTAAAGTTGGTTCCGGAAGCAACCAAATCTATTGCTGGCTGGAAGGGTCTTGAATATAGATCAGCCTTTCCTTTGACTAAACCACCTGGTGCCAATTTCTATCCTCCAGATATGGATAAGACGGTACCCACTACACATGTTTGCTGTTTGTTTTCCATTTTTTCGTCTGTTCCCATGACCCGTGGTAAGAAATGTGTTTCTAAAATCTTGTAGGAGTTCACCTTATGGCTCAGTAGTCTTACGGAAGAGCAAAAACATGCTGCGACAGGATTTTTCAGTATTATAAAAAGGCGAAGTGAAGCTAATCTTGATGCTTCTCTATCTGACAAGATACCAGATTCTGATTCCGATCTATATAGTATTCCATATTCAGAGATATATCGACCTTTCCTCACAAAAGCTTCTGAACTTTTGCACAAAGCTGGAGACTTGGTCACTTCACAGAGGTTATATTTATCATACATTCTTATCTTTACTATATAAAAGATATTTCCCCATTCGAGTGGCTTCTCGTATTGAAGCACTTCATAATGCTTTCTCATAGTTTGAAGAAGCTGCTGCACAGCAAAGCCGAAGCCTTCCTTTCAAATGACTACTATGAGTCAGACATTGCATGGATGGACTTGGTACCTTTTCTCTCCCCATTCATGTTCATAGATAAGTAGTGTTTCATAAGACGAAAGAGGATAGTTTTTGTAAGACGAGCTCTGGCTGTTTTATTAAATATACGAAGTCTCCAGTTACGTGTTTCATTTCTCGCACCAAAATCTTGAGTTTTTTATATTTTTTTGAATATCAAAATCTTGAGATTTTTTCTCATCCACTATCATCTTCTGTAGGATTCAAAGTTGGATATTACCATTGGTCCATATGAGACATACGAAGATGAAATTTTTGGTTACAAGGTAAGAATTTCCCTTTTGCAGTGATCTACTTAGGCTTATACTCCCAAGCCATCCTTGCCTTTAGCTTTGCATTTGTACATTTAACGGTCTCGACATGACCATTTGGAATTAAATCTACAATCTACTTTAGATTCTTTGTATGATATGTCTCTCTAATCCGTATTTATTTTTCATCAAAGGCTTCATTTGAAGCCTTCATCGGCATTCGAGATGATAAAGCCACAGCCGATCTGAAACTCTTTGGTGACAATCTAAAGGTACACTCCTCTTTTGCAGCTCCGAGCAATCAATATTGCAATTGCTTACGTTTCTCTAAGATTATTCTTCATTTTACACTTTCCGGTAGCTATTGGAAGATAATCTCCCGCTTGACAGTATATACAAATCAAAAGATGTATCTGCTGCTCCTATTCGGGTCATCCAGTTAATTTACAATTCCGGAGTAAGTTCTTCTGAGTATCCAAAAAAATTTCGAGAGATGAGAGGGAAAGAGAGGAAAAGTAACCTTGTCCTTATCCGCTGTTCACTTGTTTCTTGACTGTGACAGGATGTGAAAGGTCCTCAGACTGTTGCTTACAATTTGCCCAACGATGAGAAAATCGTCAAAGAGAGAGGAACATCAATGGTTATGCTCAAAAACGTTCAAGAAGCAAAGTAATGTTCCTTCTTCCTCCATGTTTTATCTATTAAAGGTGTCGCACATTACTTCTTACTAAGCCTTCTCTTATGATTCCAGGTTTGAACATATCCTGAAGCCTATAGCTGAAATCATCATCAGCAAGGAACAGAGAGGATTTGTTGATTTTGATTCTTTCTTTACTCACACCATTTGCCATGAGTGTTGCCATGGCATTGGTCCCCATACCATAACACTTCCTGATGGTCAAACCTCTACAGTGAGAAAGGTTTTACTTCCTTCTGCAAGAATGAATACATCTAATAAGAATCTTTCGTCCTGCGACCACATACTAACCACCAAACAACTTGTTGTTTAATATATTCATTTCCCTTGTCTTTTCATTTGATCTAGGAACTGCAAGAAGTCCATTCTGCAATGGAAGAAGCAAAGGCAGATATAGTTGGCCTTTGGGCATTAAAGTTTCTCATCACCAAGGTCAATGATCAAACTTTGCCAGTTAACTAACTGCACTTTGTTAATCTAAATCCAATTTGCAAAACTCGATTCATCATAGAGTCCACATCTCTGGATTCCACTGTCAACTCCATTGAACTAAAGTTACCGGTTCTGTTTCTGTATGTGAATCAACAGGGTTTGCTTTCCAAGAGTATGGTGGAGAGTATGTATGTTTCTTTCCTAGCTGGATGCTTTCGATCCATCCGGTTTGGTCTTACTGAAGCTCATGGGTAATGATGATGATACAGATAGTCTCTGCCTTATATAATCCAACCTCCAGAAATAATTTATCTCTTTCTGCCTCAGGAAAGGGCAAGCGTTGCAATTCAACTGGTTGTATGAGAAAGGAGCCTTTGTTTTTCACAAGGACTCTACATTCTCGGTTGATTTTACTAAGGTATCGATCCAAGTTCTTGTTTTCCAATTTCTGATTCTTCATATCGAAACTCTAAAAAGTTGCTGAATCTTGTTTTTTCCGCATTTAAAGGTAGAAGGTGCAGTTGAGAGTTTGAGCCATGAGATACTAACCATCCAAGGAAGAGGTGACAAAAACGCAGCAACATTGCTTTTGAATAAGTACTGCACTATCACAGGGCCATTGAAGACTGCTTTGGAGAAGCTCGAGAGCGTTAAGGTACAGACTCACAACAGGATAATAAAAACCTTAATTGAGATTTGCGATTTCCACATGATGATGATTCACATAGAAATGATTTGCGTTCATGGTTTGTTTTTTGTGTTTTAGGTACCGGTGGATATATCTCCGACATTTCCATTAGCAGATGCATTGATGAACTGAGATCTATTCGCAGGCATTGTTTCAGCTTCAGCGAGACCCTATGGTTTTATAATAAGTAAAAAAATAAAAACTCAGATAGATAATTAACCGTTGAATGGGTGTTATGTTTCGACAATAAAAGTTGCAACTTTTTAGTTCTTGGTTGATCAGTAGTCTCAAGAACAATAGCTTCCTCTGAATGTGATAGTCCCAGCGAAGAAATTTGACAACTTTATGATAAAATGAATTGCCACCAATAAAGAAAATTAGATACGAGATTCGGGACAAAAAAAACTTTTCAACAAAACACTATCAAGGCGCATAATCAAAGTCGTTATAGAAACCAGGATTTATGAAAGAATTAAAACCACCGAAAATAACGTCTTCCTCCGTCGCTAACTTGCCGGAATCCTGACACCCAAAATACGTCTGGATATCGTCGGGAAAGCTCCGGCGAGATGGAATAGCTTCCGGGTCGAGTGTCTCCTCTGTTTTCGTATAGTCGTTATCCTCTGACGAAGTTTGACCGTCTGGTGATCTTGGCTCGTGGTTTGGGTTTCGAACGGGCATAGAATCGTAATAATCGGATTCATCCGGGAGATGATTTGCGGCGGCGCTAGGGTTTTTCGATTCCGGTAGATTTAGATAACGGCTGACGTCGAAGTTGGTAACGGCGTTAAGTCCACGGTACTCTATTGCCGCGATGTCATATGCTCTGGCTGCTTCCTCTTGCGTTGCTGCACGTCAGCAGGGTTAAATATCACAAATCAAAACATTGAGCATAGTGCGTAATTTCTTAAAACATTTATCCCACTAGTATAAATATGTTTGTTTGTTATTCCCTCTGGTTCATTATAGTTGATTTTCTATGCTTTTTTTCTTGTTTCATAATATTTGATTTCCTACATCTAATTAATCTAATTAATGCATATCTATTCTTTAAATTGAATGAATAATATTAATGCATGTTGCTTTACTCTATTAATACACAATTAAAAAAGAAAAAGTAATAATAAAATAATGAAATCAGTTGTAAAAGTAACTTAATTAACAAAAATAAACAGTAAATATTCAGAAAATCAACTATAATGAAACAGAGAGAGTATTATTAAACTTTCCCATTGTGTCACTTGGATATGGATATATCTATCACGCATTTGCCTAATATATAGTCGTAACTCGTATGCATGTTCTGTGATCTATATAGAAATAAACATTATCTTCTCATCATGTAAAAAAACGAATAAAAGTAACTGGGAGGAAAACGATCGAGATATAGCAGCATCGTTGCGTTGCAACATTTGGGGTTTAAAATTCTGCAGTGTGCGTGAGTTACACACCACGATAACAAAAATAAAGGAACTGGGCCATCTTTGAGTAAGGGAATGAATTTGCCAATAAAATTGGATGAGCTACTTGTAAAGTTAAAACAATATAATAAATAGGTTGAGTAAGTAGATGGGGTTTGGTGATCTAGTTTCCAACCAACAAGATTTTATCACCCTCTTAAAAGTACATAAACAGTGTGTCCATAATTACAAACAGTGAGTCCATATATTAAGCTCTCCAAAACACCTATTGATACCTTTGATTTATATATTATTATATTCTATGGAATTCTTTATATTCTATGAGATCTATCATGTGCGTGACTTAAATTTTCTTGGAGCTGTTGACAAGAAAAAATGTTGGAGTTGTTTGTTTGACCACATTCGTATGCATATCGTGACCTTTGTTCTTTTCTACCATTTTTTTACTCTATCATTTCTATTTGTATTTTGTAGTATAGGTTTATAGATAGTAAATACATATGAGAAATCATGCCATGGTCTAATAATAACCACTTTTAATACTAAATCCTAAAATTCAAGATTATAATTTGCAAAGATTGGGTTTTAGTAAGCTAGGAATTTGCAATTTTCATAAAATATATTACTATAAAAAGGAACACATAAAGTAAGGATAAATGGGACTAAATACCGTATGTTCCAAGGTATAGATATTTATTACCAAACACCCTTCCAATTCGAGCTTCCCATCTCCCATTATGGTGATGCCTGCAAATTAATTGCTCATGCTTCAACAACTCTTGTTGTGTACGTATGTAATAAACCCGTAAATTTCAATAAATGGTTCTTATTATTTTTCTTCTTCTTCGAATTATTATTATTCATTGGCAACTTATAATTTAGAGGAGTTGGTCTAATATGACTATTTAGCTATCTATATCGAGGTTATATTTACCTTGCAACGCCTCTGTATTTTGATACACCACGAGAAAACCCACTACTTTTCCTACACCAAAACGATGTAATTTAATTACAAATTGATAGATCAATTTGACACATTCGATTTTAAATTAGTTAGTTAAAATTTACCTTCTCAAAGATCCAATGTACTCTTCCCTGGAATGGCCTTCCATTTCTTTGACGTCTTCTTCATAAGTAGGTAGCTTAAAAAAATTCACCAAAGAAACACGAAATTTCACAGTCCAGTTAATTAGAAAAGAAAAAGAAAACATATTTGATCAAGAAATTAAATCGGCATTGCATTACAAGTAAACGCATGCTTTTTTTCTTGTTTATTGTGTTCTAAAAATTAGCAGGCGATAAGTAAGTAATTTTAAAGATTAACTAAACTTTGATTTAAAGAAAGGTAATATGGATTTGGAGAAAAATTACAGGGAAGTTCAAGAGTGTGTCTCGTCCCCAGTACTTCAATGCCGCTAAGTCGTAGGCACGTGCTGCTGCTTCTTCCTCGTCATATGCCCCTATCCAAAAACCATATATTATTTTTTGATTTTTTTTTTTTTTGTCAAAAAGGTTTTCAATATTTTATAGACTAGAAAAAAAGGGAAAATACGAATTGCGTTGGACCCATAAAGAACAGCTAATAATAAACCGGCTTTACCAATTTCGGTGGAATTCTTTCTTCTAATTGATAACCACATCACACATGTATATGTGGACTTTTTTCATCACTTTGTCGAGGAGTATTTAAAAGAATAAAAAGCGATAGAAAAATATAAAAAGAAATAGTACAATACTTTATCAGATTATGTATCTTCTAACTTGTATAGAAATGATACGGATATTAGCTAAGAAAAAAAAAAACTCACCAAGATAAACTGCACTTGATGAGTCAGCAGTCATCATCCATTGCACATCACCATCATAAAAAAAAATACCCCAAATTAAAAAAAAAAAAAATCAAATCAAGATTCAAGAAACAGTGAAGAGGACGAAATCTGTCCGGAGAAAAAGGAGTTTCCGACATCATCGGAATCCAATCTAAGACCATAAACAAACTAAACAAACTTTCTGTTACGGCAAATATATACATATGTGTGTGTAAGTATAGACACAAATTAACCTTGACGTCCTTTCTTGGTCTGCGTCTCGTTCCAGCAGTTCTTATCCCACAAATGCGCTTCGTATCTCCCCGTCCATCTATGCCTATTCAGTCGGGAAATTATATGAATATAGTTAAGTAAAGAAATTACCACCAAAAAAAAAGGAATATGTAGTCTTATAGAACGATGTCGTTTGGTGTATGTTGGTTTTTTTCACAGAGAACCTTGTCACGCCTCTGTAGGAGGAGCTGCGTTGAGGTGGAGCGTTTTGGGGCGGCAGCTTCCGTTTGCGTTTTGATTTAAGGAAAGCGGACGAAGACACAGACGCAACCGCAACCGCTTTTTTATCGCTGATTTCGTCGTTGACGATTGTCTTCTTGCTCCGCTGAGAGACTTTTGCCATTCCCGGTAAGAGAGAAGAATGAATGAGGAGCGACAATGGTGAAAAGAGGGTTTCAAACTTTTAATGAGCATATACGATATATAGCTGGTGAAGGGAGTATTTATTTATACTAAATCCATCTCAGTTTCTTTCGTTTCTTTTATTTGTTTGTGTTTAATTTAATTTGACATAAATATATATATATATATCTATTCTTATTGGCTCAAAGTTTGATTGTGTAATAATTACTTTTGATCATATTATACAATCATTCTCTTTGTTTTTCATGGCGCTAATTATATCTTATGTTTTTTAATTTCTATATCTACCGTTCTAGGCTCTAGCCATTTAGTCGTCTATATTCTTAATTGATATGTGCTACCGCTTTTCTTGATTAAATTGAGTATAAACACCCAATTAAGAAATTCTCTAATTAGAATGAGCCATTTTTGAGTTGTTTATGAGTTTATCTACTTTTGGATTAACGCTTTGTCTTCTCATTTAGTTAAGCTTGGACACTTGGAACTTGGAAGGATCTACTTAAGCTTAAGTAAAATTTGGAGATAGTAGGCAAGCAAAATTTGGTTGTCTCAAGATCTATATCTGCTTGGTTGATATACTTATTGGTCGGCCCATGAGAGATGTGATGCCAAAAGAGCAAGAAAATTTGATATATAAATGTCCTTTTTAGGATATTGAATTATTTAAAGATTTGGTTTATATTTTATTTTCCTCTCTATAATTTAAAATATTTGTAAAATTTGTATTATAAGAATTAGAAAGATTTTTAAATGACCTACCTATAAGTCATTTGAAAGGGCCCTATAACACCGTTTTGATTATAACATTACACAAGCTTAATAAGATAATTTCAGTATGGGACCAAATGTTTATATGATATGAACCATCTTATATAATAAATTTCACAACTTCCAAACCATCATCTGTTTTTTTTTTTTTCTTCAAATAATGTTGTTTGCATAAAAGTCATAATTTATTAAATTAAACGTGACTACTACCTGCCCCCAAATTTGTTTGTAGGTGGAAGGATTGTCAACAGTTATGGTAAAATTTCTGAAATTAGAGTGACAAATGTAAAATCTTCTTTTGTTTTTTGCAACAAGGTGAAAAGCGATGTTGTTGATTGTAAAGCTTTTCAATAATAAATGAAACTATGAATAAGCATTTATATAATAATATTTTATATTCAATGCATAACGAGTAATAAAAAAAGTCAACGATACAAATGAGATCCATTCTCTTGCTTAGGTCTGTATCAGATGTGCCACGTCAACTAACAAAAGAACCGTAAATGGAAAAACGTTGCCTAAATTGGATTTCTCATTAACACCCAATTAAGAAATTCTCTAATTACAATGCACCATTTTTGAGTTGATTAGGAGTTAGTCTACTTCTGGATGAACGCTTATCATTTAAATATATTTTTTTAATAGAAAGCCAACTAACTTATTTGTATATAATTTTACATTCCAGTTCTAACAATTTAGTCAAGTGAAGGGGAACAACTGTGAAAAGGAAAAACGAGAAGAGAACTTTTTCTCTGCTTTTCCCAAATTAAAACTCCAAGCGACACAAATCTATATATTATTAAACCTGAAGGTCGATTTTTATGCGGATAAAGAAAGTAAAAATAATGTTGAATAACTCTCCAAGTCAATCTCGACAAGAAACACAGAATTGAAAGAAAAGACATGTGTGAGTATGTAAAAAATGAAACAACAACTCGTTAGCGAACCCCATTGCTGCCAAAAAAAAAAAAAAATGCTAATTACGATTCACGGCGTTTCTGTAAAATTGGGGCTATATCTGGAATCCGAAGCAACAATTCCCATATGGTAGCCTCTCTCCTCTCGGAGAAGTTCCACGGCTTCAACGAAACTTTGTGTCTTAACCCCACTTTGATCTCGAGCAAAACTTTTCGAAACCTATGATAAAAATTTTCCCCGTAGTCTGTTCTGAGCTGCGCTAGCTGCTCATCATCCACTGACATCGCCCATTGCATGTAATGCATCTGAGCTTCTTCATCATCATAACTGAAACTGGGGAAAAGAACACTAAAGTCCTCAAGATTTAGAAGTCCCATCTCTCTTCGGTCAATGTCAGATTCGTCATCCAAATTGTCATCCAAATTCAGCTGGGGATAAATCTAAGGACAAATTAAAGAAAGACACAAAGAACAAGACGAGTCAAACTCTATCGCTCGCGCTAGTCAACCCTGACATTCACGAACTTGACTGGAATTCATAATTTACCTTGAGTAACACGACTTTTGCATTCAAGATTTCTTCGTCCCTCATGTACAATTCCTCTTCGAGAACCGTGATCTACCATAGACAAGAACAAGACCCAAGATTACGTATTTTACCTTAACGAAATCACCGAATCTAGCTAGACCGAGTCACGCACAGACCTTTTCATCCCTTTGCTTCACCTCTGCTTCGAGACTCTTCAACTTTTCCGTCATCTTCTCCATTTCGTCATCGAGTATCGTGCCCCTGACGTCAGTCTGCAGTTTATGCGGTTCTCGATCAAGAAAAGATATACTAGAGGATTGTTTCTTGAGAGAGACGTCGGAAATCAAGAAATTACCCTCGTCTTTTCCCAAATCGCACGAAGATGGTGAGTTTCTTCATCTTTCCTCTTCAAATTTTCTTGGAGGCTGTTTAATTTTTCATTCATGAATTCGAATTCATGTTCGTGATCGTTGAGTATCCATCGCCAATCATCCGTCTGTAAAATCGAAAGAGTATCGTCAGCGACGATTTTTGTTTAATATAACAACACGCGATACTCCACATCGAAAAATCTAATAACAACTTACATCGATCTTCACTTCTTCTGCCAGCTCTTTCAATTTTGTGTTCACCCTCACGAGTTCTTCATTGAGGATACTCGGCATATCTTCACGCTCCATTGTTGCTGTTTTTGATCAAGAACCAAGAGATTACTTGGGAGAGACGGTAAAAAGAAAGAACCAGTACGAGTTCTTATATATAACCTTTTTTTTCCTCTCTCTTTCAAAGGTGAGCGTTAATTAATTAGTGAGTTTAAATTAAATTTTATATTTTTATAATTATAAAAATACCTGATGTTAATAACATTTGCTTAAATAATACCCAAAACTATTTATGCTCCTTAAAAAATACTTAAAATTTTTATGAATTAATACACAGACATTTAAAAAGTGAAAGTTTGACACCTTAAATTTCATAGAGGTTAAATCGGGTAACTGTGTTAATTTTTCATAAAATGTAAAAATTAATCCTTACAAATTTACGTTTTTATCCTAAAAAATCTTCAAGATCAGTTTGGGGAAGAACAAACCCTAATTTTCCCCTTTACATCGACATTCATCTTCTCTTATTGATTTTAGGGAAATCTCAAAGCTCTAGTGCTGAATCTTCTTCTGCGAAACACATATGCTTTTGTGTATTCCTTCTCTTTTGTTACTGTTGCGAGTTTTAAGATGAACGAAAAGGAAGAGTTTTATAACTCGCAAGAATCGATCTCAATGAAAGGTAGCTTCAAGGAGAAAGGAAACCCAGATTCGGGGGCGTCAATGTCTATGACTTTCATTTCAGGGTACCGAAAATCAAAAAGAGGATATGAATGTCGGAAAGAGAATGGGAAATTAGGGTTTTTTTCTCCTTTGAAAATTTTAAGAGTAAAAATGTAATTTTAAAATGATTAATTAGCACATGTTAATAAAAATTAATGCAGTAGATCGATTCCGTTTACTCTGTTAACGTCTGTGAAATTGAGGGTGTCAAATTTTTACTTTTTGAATGTTTGGATATTAAATCGAAACTTATAAATAGTCTAGATATTTTTTTGGGAGCATAAATAGTTTGGGTTTTTTATAGCAAATGTTGTTGACATTAGGTATTTTAAAGATTTTTTCTCATAATTAAATTAGTGAGTTTAAATTAAATTTTATACTTTTATAATTACTGAACTGTGTAAAGAAATATCTGGCCCAAACCCAATGTTATTCATCAAGAAGACATGTCAAAGAAAAGCCCATGCGTATAGGGTTTCAATCCAAGTTTAGATTCCCCTTTATATGAATAAACAATACTCATAGAAAAGCCCATGCGTGAGCAACATCCCTTTATCATTTTTCAGATTAATCTAAGAAACATTGTGATCTTGGTGTTCATTTAAAGCTTTTTCCTTTTTTACTTTCTTGCACAATAAAGTTCTATGAGCTATTTCATTTTCTATGTTTGATTTTCTATGAATCTATTCTTGGTTTGAAATTGTCTTCAGACTGCACTAGTCTTTTTTTTAATATAATTTGATTTGGTATTTAGTTTTGAAATTTGTAATTATTATTATGGCAAGGTCATGTAAAATCGTGATTAGAAAAATAAAATTGTTGTATCTTGTGTAATAGATGTGTATTTTTTAAAAAACTCATGTAAAAAGACAGAATTTTACTATCTTAGTACTGATGCACAGGAAGTGAAACTTGTATTTGGTCGATTTAAGTGTTTTCTAATCAAGTTTCATTTTGTAAGAAGTATTAAAAAATTTTGCTGTGACATGTTCTTTGATTTTTTTTTTTTTGTTCTCTCCAAGTTTAATGTAATATCGTGTCCATATTTATCCATTTAAAAAGTGAAAGTTTGACACCCTCAATTTCATAGAGGTTAAATCGGATAACTGTGTTAATTTTTCATAAAATGTAAAAATTAATCCTTACAAATTTACGTTTTTATCCTCAAAAATCTTCAAGATCAGTTTGGGGAAGAACAAACCCTAATTTTCCCCTTACATCGACATTCATCTTCTCTTACTGATTTTAGGGAAATCTCAAAGCTCTAGTGCTGAATCTTCTTCTGCGAAACACATATGCTTTTGTGTATTCCTTCTCTTTTGTTACTGTTGCGAGTTCTAAGATGAACGAAAAGGAAGAGTTTTATAACTCGCAAGAATCGATCTCAATGAAAGCTAGCTTCAAGGAGAAAGGAAATCCAGATTCGGGGCCGTCAATGTCTATGACTTTCATTTCAGGGTACCAAAAATCAAAAAGAGGATATGAATGTCGGAAAGAGAATAGGAAATTAGAGTTTTTTTTCTCCTTTGAAAATTTTAAGGGTAAAAATGTAATTTTAAAATGATTAATTAGCACATGTTAATAAAAATTAATGCAGTGGATCTATTCGGTTTACTCTGTTAACGTCTGTGAAATTGAGGGTGTCAAATTTTTACTTTTTGAATGTTTGGATATTAAATCAAAACTTATAAATAGTCTGGATATTTTTTTGGGAGCATAAATAGTTTGGGTTTTTTTTGTAGCAAATGTTGTTAACATTAGGTATTTTAAAGATTTTTTCCCATAATTAAATTAGTGAGTTTAATTAAAATTTTATACTTTTATAATTAGTGAACTGTATAATATGTATTAAAAATAATTCTATATAGGATTAATAAATTATCATTTTTTAGTTAATATCTATAATATGTATTAAAAATAATTATATATAGGATTATCAAAATGAACAAAACTATCTACTTAATCTATTTTGGAATTAACTAAAATATTTTTTCGACCAACCGTAAAAAATACAATTTAAAATTTGAAAAAAAAAAATATATATATATATATTTACAAAAATAATTGAATTGATTTTTGAAAATAATACTAATTAATTACGGAAATACAAATAAAAAATATTGCAAATATTTAAATAGATTTTTTCATATAAATAGATTGATTATTATTTAAAATAATAAAATATAATTTAATATTTTAATAAATAAAAAACTAAATAGATTTTTGATTTATATCTATATATTCAAAACAAATCTGTGAGCTCTATATTTTACTCTCTTATGGAAAATAATATTTAATTAAGCTTTCTATATTTGTAAAGTTTATTTATATAATATTTTATAAGTAAAATTTTATTTATAGAATATCTTATAATTAAATATTATTTTATGTAAAATATTTTATAATATCTTATAAACAAAAGTTTATTTATGTAAATATCTACCTAAATAATAATATAAAGATATAAAACGCACATTAAAACTAATAATCTTCAAATTAGACTTGAACCTAAGCTAGAAACATGTGATGACAAGGTCCCATTGATCTTCTGTTGTTTGAAGTGCCTGTAGCTTGGCCACTGCCGCTTCTATCTTTAACTTCTTCGTGGCGGGAAATGAGGTTGACTTGATCATCATATTGTTTAGCACAGTACCTTGCCTAATCAAACATGACGCAAAGGCAAACTCCTCTTCTGAGCCGCTGAAGTTATGCATCCACACAGTGCTCACGCGGAATTCAGCATTGGGGAACGGATCGTTGTTATTATTCTCCTCCCACAACTTCTTCTGCGAACAAGACTCACCTTCTTTCCTAGGAGCATCGTTATTCTGCACATGACCAGTACAACAATGTTTTAGGTCATGATCAGTCTTCAACTTTTTAATTAATTAATTAAACGTGAATGAATGTACATACCTTAAATAAGATCTCGAGCTCTAACATTTGATGAGTATTCCATAAACGCAAGACTTGTCGTAACCTCTCAACTTGTGTCAGATTCATTAAATCAACACTCACCGACAAGGATGCAGTCCATGCCAACTCTCCAAACAAGTTGACAAATTCTTCATGCACAATTTTCTCCTAAAATGCATGATTCATGGAGACAATGTCAAAACCTCAACATATCAAATACCATAATTTATATATATAGTTCCTTTGTCTAGTATGTACCTCTGATATGTTGTAGCTGATGTGACGGAAGAATCTCCCTGCAACCCAAAAGTTTCTGTTAAACTGGAGTTTGGGGGCCGTGAGGGAAAATTCATCTCTCCTGAGAGAGTTCCTATAGATGGCGAGGATATCTAGACTAGCTACTGACACTCTAATGCCATCAATTTTTATGGAACACATCACTTCCAGGAGCTTTAATTTGCTGTTCTCAATCTTTAAAGGACCCCCAATTTTCTTTGAGCAACTAATATTTAATACGAGCACCTCGAGAGAAGGGCAAGATGCGAGTACTCTGTTAAAGACTCCAACATCGGAGGCCACAATACATAAGAGTTTGAGGGTTTTGAGATTCGGGCAGTAGCTCAAGGGATATGAGCTTTTGAGAATGTATGAATGTAGTGAGAGTGACTTAAGGCTTGGATGGGAGAAGACGTTTGGGGAAATGTCGTCAAGATATCCGCTGACTTTCCTTCCATCCATATCCAATCGACAAGAAGGGTGTGTAAAGTGGTGTTCAAGTGTGAGAACTTTGGTGTGTTTCACGCTGGTCAGTGCTTGAATCCAAGTATTGAGCATTCCATTTACACTTTGGTATGAGTAATGGTGGATTTCGCAGCTCTCTAGATGTCCACGGTGATTGTTTATAACCTTTTTGAGACACGTCCAACAAAGAATTTGATGACCCATTTTTTATAATATTAAGATCGATGTGGATAATTAGAACAGAAAAAAAAAAACACCAACCTTAGTCATCAATGTAGCAACTCGATTGGAACCATCAAGCGGCTCTTTGCAATTGATAATCCTTGACATGTCCAAGACTAGATGAGATATGTGCTTCCACACGTCTTCCCATCTTTTGGACACAAGACTCGTCCTTATCGCTTCTTGTGTGGAAAGTCTCGACAATATCATGAGCAATACATCGTCAGGGAGTTTGCTGATCCAATCAACCTCTTTAACCTAATCAGAAGATGTACCATTAATATATACGCAAACAAATAAACAAATAGGTTCTGTATCATGCAGATTTAATTAATTTACACTCTTTAAAAAAAAATAAAATAAGGACAAATAATATCAAAAAGAGAATATATAAGTTTATTAAAAAGAGGCTCTTTCAGCCAAAAAAAAAAACACAGAGTTTTACCAAAAATTCGATGAACATGTAACTTGAAGTCTTGAACCAAACAAATACATATACAAAATAGGCATAGCTCCAAAAGAGTTTAAATGTTGGATATATTTCATGCCATCGGCATTGACACAAGTCAAAATTTCGAATCAGAGATCAGACAAATCCAAAAGAAACATTCCATCTAAGACTCCACAATTTCACTCAAACTCGTTGCTGATCCAATCAAGAGTTACCTGATCAGATGATGATAATGATGATCTCTCCATATTTGCTCGATTGCTGTGGGACACGGAAGATTCACTCCGAGTTTTCAAGAGTCTGATTCGGTTCAAAGTAATATCTTCTTCTTTTTTTATTTATAATTTTTTTTGTTGGGAAATTGCAGTAATGACCATCAAACAAATTATTAATTAATTAAGTTAATAACCAAAAAAAATCTGAACTTGATATATTTTTTATATTATAATATATATATATCAATACATTTTAACCCTTTTAATTAACACCAATACGAAAATTAAAGACATATAGTATGATTTTTTTTTGTATAAATAGTCTATTATTATAAGTTGGTAAATATGTCTTTAATTTTTTTAAAAATAAATCTGTTATATTATTGATTAAAAATACACTTTCTATACTATTAGTGTCATTATTAACATATAGAAAAAAATGAGTTTGTTTTTCCAAATTAAAATCATGTTAGATATGAAATAAAATTAATATTTTTTTGTACTAATATATACTTAAAACGATTAACAGTATGTGAGATATGCAAAAAAAAAATATTTGGAATACAAAATATATATGTAGAAAAAAGATTGTAATTGACTATTTTTCCGCTACTGGAGATAAAATTGCCCAAAAAACATTAATTAATAGTGTTAATAGCTTAATTATCAAATATGTATATAGATATATTTTTTATTATTGAGAATTGATTATTTTATTTAATTAACCTTTGTTTGTTTCGACAACCTTTTCCTTTTCCCCTTTTCTATCTAAAATATACTAATAATTATTATTTGGTTATTATATACAACAGTCAACTAACGGGAAGACACTTGAACGCCGTCAACGGATTCGAAGTATATCGATCGGGACAATGTACGATTTCGATTGTTCAGATGCAAATGAGTGTCAAAATCCCAAGACTTTTCGTGTGCGTGAACTATCGATTTTAAGAAATATCTCAGATTCATCATAAGTAATTACACTACCCTATGTAGACAGATCCCTTGTTCGTATCAATGGCGAACTGATCCGAGGAAGCCTAGTACGATTGAGGCTAAGTTACCAAGAAGGAATCTTAGATCTGGTGATGAAGCGGCCTCTACGGTGGCTAAGAATGCTCATTGAAGAGTTTCACTGGAGCTTCTTCTTTGGCGTGATTATCGTCTATGGCGTTAGCCAAGGGCTTGGTAAAGGCCTCAGCAAAGTCAGCACGCAGTACTACCTGAAAGACGAACAGATTGTTCAACCCTCTCAAGCACAGGTTTATGTTGGTTTGATTCAGATTCCTTGGATCATTAAACCCCTCTGGGGATTGTTCACTGATGTTGTCCCTCTTTTCGGCTACAGGAGGCGACCCTATTTCATACTCGCCGGTAATTTCACTAAGAGGAAAAATAAAGTTACCTTCTTTGGTTGCTTCTTATATAATGATGATGAAAAATGTCTCATCTTTTTTCTTCTTGATTATAGGTGTTCTTGCTATGATCTCCATGCTGGTGTTATGGCTGCACACCAATCTGCATCTTGCACTGGCTTTGTCCTGTCTTGTGGCAGCAAGTGCTGGAATTGCTATAGCTGATGTAACCATTGATGCTTGTGTAACACAATGTAGCATAAGCCATCCTACTCTTGCTGCGGATATGCAAAGTTTGTGTGGCCTGAGTTCCTCAATTGGATCCTTGCTTGGTTTCTCCCTTAGCGGCGTTTTGGTGCATTTGTTTGGGTCCAAGGTTGGCTCTTTAAACATCTCCTTGCAATTTAGATAATCTATATGTTAATCGTTGCCTCTGATATACACGTGTTTCTCTTCTTGGCAGCGTGTGTATGGTTTACTCGGTTTGACTTCAGGATTGGTTGTTGTGACTGGGATGGTTCTGAAAGAATCTCCTTCTCGCACTTTAGGTCTCAAGCATGTATGTTTTTCGCTACCCTTTGGCCCAATCATATTCTGTAAACAAGTATGCCATCGAGTAAACTCTGCTTTCAGGTGAATGGGAGGCTTCTGGATGCTGGAAGCGCAATATGGAAAACCTTTCAATATGGTCAGGTGTGGCGGCCATGCTTGTTCATGCTCTTGTCAGCTGCAGTGAGCTTGCATATTCACGAAGGCATGTTCTATTGGTACACAGATGCAAAGGATGGTCCTTCCTTTTCAAAGGTGCTTTTACCATTAGAAGATCCCTCCATGCCCGTACTTAAAACATTTGGGAACTCTCTGTAATGTTTTCGGCTTAATGTAGTTTCTTTTCTGTTCCGTAGGAAGCAGTTGGATCCATTCTGTCGTTTGGTGCAATTGGCTCTCTTGTCGGCATACTTCTTTATCAGAACTTTCTGAAGAACTTCCCTTTCCGGAGTGTTGTCTTATGGGCACTTTCCCTATCTTTCCTGTCAGGATTTCTGGATTTGATCCTGGTGCTGCGCTTAAATCTGAAGCTCGGTGTTCCTGATTACTTCTTCATTGTGGTTGACGAGTTTGTTTCACATATGATCAGTAGAATCAAGTGGCTACCGCTCCTTGTTCTCAGTTCCAAGCTCTGTCCTGCCGGTATGGAAGGCACTTTCTTTGCTTTGCTCATGTCGATTGAACATGTAGGACACCTGTTGTCTTCATGGGGCGGAGGAGTATTACTTCATTCCTTGAAAGTTACACGTACTCGGTTTGATAATCTCTGGTTGGTTATTGTGATTAGGAGTTTACTGAGGGTAGTTCCTATTGGAATGGTCTTTTTGATACCAAATGTTGATCCCAACGCAACCATTCTTCCGGCTGAGATGTTAATGAACAGAAGAAGCGAAGCTGTGATCGAAACCGAGAAGATAGAGATGACTGCTCTGATAAGTAATGAAGCTTAAGTTGAATCAATTATGTTTCTCTGAGGTTTTCTCTCTGTTCATTGTTTGTTCGTCTGGTTTAGATAATTTTCCTTCCTCGCAGAAGGTCATCAAATATTTCTTTCTTACAATTTCTCGTAAGCTACTGCTGCTGTATTGATACAGATACACACACATATATATATAAGAGTACTTGGAGAAATTGGCTTTGCCTTGCCAAAAGAGATGATTGGCTTTCATGATACAAATGATCTTCAGATTCTGCAGTTTTCTCCTGCAATACCAAGCTTCTCTTGTTTGGTATCATATACTATTCTCTGGTTTTTTTGTTGGTAATTTCCGATGATACCGACTTCGTTTTCATATGACAGACTTGCCAAAGCCAAGCACACTAGAGATGCGTCGGGCTTGACAAAGTAGAACACACCAGTAACATCCACTTCGAGCTCAGCGTTACCTTGGAAGATCATTTTGATAGTGGGAATGCTTATGTCTTCATAGCTCGTGAGGTTAAAGCAAGTGTCCAAGATTGAATAAGCAGGCGCTGAAGGAAACCCAGAAAACTGTTTCAGAAACTCTGTCTTCACAGCTTTATAAATGGAAGGTGGCAATCTCGTGATAACCGTTCCTGAATCGATTAGAATGCCTCTACCAAAGCTTGAACTTTCCAGCTCCACGCCACCAATGCTAGCACCGGTGAGATTCAGAATGTAAAAGGAACGAAGCTGAGGGTTTTGAACTAACGGAGTGTAGGAAACTGAAGTTATATTCTTGTAAGCAGAGGAATCGTCACCGAAAGACAATGAACCAGAAGCTCCATCCTCGAGAGAAGGTAAACAGTATGAGAAAACTCCGTTGAAAATTTTCATAGTTTGGGAGACTAAAGACAATGAGCTTCTTCCCAAACCCATTAAACCAGAAGTTCCTCCAAACAGACCTTTGTTGTTTCGGCCACAACCAAAGACAAAGTTTTCGACTTTCGTGTCGCCCATTTGGATATTTTCACTGCCCAAGTCTCCTCGAGTGTATGAACCATCTCCGTAGCTGACAACGTAGTCACAACTTGTCTTTTCGACACCATTGTTGCCTCCACAGAGGCCAGAGTTGCCGTTAGTTGCTACAAGATCCTGACAAGTGGATGAGTTGCAGAAAACTGTCTTGTAAGAAGATGAGACTGATGGGTCATACAAAGGACCTTGTTGGTTGTAACAGGACTTGCAAGGTTGGCATTGGACCCAAGTCAAGTCACTTCCAGTGTCAACGATCAAACTCATGTTTTTCCCTCCTAATTCAACTGTGACAATATAATTCAGAGTCTGAAGTTTTATTCCTGAGGCTAGTGGAATTTGAGTTTCCAAAATGGATTCTGTGGTGCTTGAACTCATGGCTTTTATCCTGAGTTGAAGTGATTGGACTCGAAGATTATCAAGAACTAAGGCTCTTCTCAGCTTCTTACCCCAATCTATAGTCTTTCCTGAGCATACTTCCCTATGTTGCATCTCCAATGTAGTGGATTCTCTTCCTTTTGCTAAGTTTAAAAAAAAAAAAATAATAATCATCAGTTTTAATAAAGATCAACAGATGCAATAAATAACTAACCAAAACAGAGTAAAGAATCACAGGAGGATATAGAAAACAGAGTATACGAACACTATCAATTTGAAAACAGAGTTTACACGCAAAAGATACAAACAGTATTGTGGTAGATGAATTTTCTCCCATGGAGAAAAGAATCTCAAGATTCCATAAAAAAAAAATTGTAAAGCTTTAGAAAAACAACTATCACTAATACCAATTCAAGGAAAAGGGAGCCAAAAAGTAATGCAAAGGTAATGACTTTAAAAGTGTTTAAACAAATTTTGAGGCTTTTGCTAATCTAACCATAAATCACGCCGTTAATATCAAACTAAAGCAAAGAAACAGTGTCTATACATCTTTCTGACTTTCCCTACGGTTGGTGAACGTTTGATGGAAAGAAATAAAAAACTCACCGAGATTGTGAGAAAAACATGAACTCGAAGCTTCGTTTGATTTCCTCGGAGACCAAATGTTGTTGTGCAGACTAAGAATCTTCTTCTCGTCGGCGCTATGAACAGTAACACGCGACAGAAGAAGAGAAATAAGAACAAGAAGGAAAGGAGCAAGTGAAAGATTCAGTTGCAGAAAAGCTGCTTTCTTCGACATTTTCGTAAGGAGGATTCTCTTTGCAGAGGGAAAATAAGAGGTGAGAGAGAAGAGAGAGAAGGAGAAATAGAGAGATTCTTGGGAAATTTGGAGGTAGTGAAGAGAACAAAAGAGGAAGGGCTGGCGAGAAGTGGCAAAGAAAAATAAAGGACCCCACTCTGTGCATGAGAAAATTATTGGGGATTCACGTGAATTACTGCAAGTTTATCACCTAATTATAACAAAATTTACAATGTTTTTGGGATAAAATTTTGTTTAGTTAAAAAACAAATTCAGTGTGTAGATGGTGATACTACTTCTATTGGTTCTTATAGTGTTGGCTGCTAGTGGAAGTAGAGGATTTCAAATCTCAATATTATTGTTTTTACCTTCCTCTAGCCACTATAGTTGTAATTAACACATTTAGGATATAACAAAGTTCTTTGGCTTAATGTTACAACATAATCTTATAGACAATGCCATATTCTTCTACACAATACAATGTTACATTCAGTATGAGTCCAAGATTATTTCGAGTTATTAGCAAAAAAAATTTGTTTCCAACCTTAATTTACTCTTATTTTGATTTTTTGTGACATTTTTCAAAACAAAAGTTTTCAAAAATATTGTTTTCTGTAACTTTTTATAAATGGTCATGGAAAAATACATATACATCTATCATATATATTAATACATAATTTGTACAAAAAAAGTAGATTAAAAAAAGTTCAACTCAACTCAGGTCGCACCACTCGCTCACCCAAATAAGCCGGTCTCAATGATATTGTTTCATATGGTTGACAAAAAGAAAAACATTGTTTCATGATTGATATTACACCTAACTAATTAAGGTGAAATTAGCAAAAGAAAAGACAATGACACAATATATTTGAATATTATGTGCGTTGTTTTTATCATAATATACACTTGGAGAAAAGACTACTCAACTTCACAGGGAAAGGGAATCTAATTGCTGCAACTTCCACTTATGTTTTTTTAGGTTTTGTCTTGAGAAAAACAATAAGCTGAGGTATTTGATGGTAATTCTTATTGATACTGTCTCGAATTGTTTTACCGCGCCTGACCATTTTCACAAGACTTTAGTAAATCCAATTACACATATTAGTATTTTTTAATCTCCCATTCACAAAATACAAGATTTCAGTATATATTTAATTATACATATAAAAATTATGGTGGTAGTAAGTAGTAACTATTGATGGAGGTTGAATAGCTATCCTTATGTCTTGGACTCTGGAGAATTTAAATTATAACTAAGCAACTTGATTGTTAATGTCCAAATCTCTTTTCTCGATAAAATTATATAAAAACTTTATTTATAAAGAAGATAAAAAATGATTAATCTTGTTATTGAAGTAAAGGAGAAACGCCTTGTGATTCCGTACGGTTTTATCGTAAGTAGGACAAGCTGATACATGATTCGCGTTGCTATGTGTTTGCCACTGAAGTGTGAATAGTGAATAGTAATTAGCAAAGTCCTAGAGGCAGGGCCGGAACTGAGAATTTAGGGGTTATAAACAATTTAAGAACAAATTTTTTTCTTTTGTGATTTTGGGGGCCGAAAAATTCATAAATAACCGAAGAAAAATTTTAGGGGCTATAAACGAATGTTTCATCAGGCTGTCTCTAGATCCGGCACTGCCTAGAGGGCATCGATTTGGTCCGAATTAAAACCGAATTCATCTCTCTTATAGTCTTATTTCATTCTCCATGCATGGTTATGTAAATGTGATGATTTATGGGTATCGTATAGTTCTGTTTTATTGTACCTAAGTCTCATAGGTTAAAGTTTTAAATAAATAACTTGTCCTCGGATAAGTAAATCACAGATCAATGGATTTATTAAATTAAACATAATAATTAGCATGCGTTGTTTTTTAAAAACTTGTCTGGGAACCTTAAATAATTTGATTTGAAGGTCTAGTTGTAACCTAATAGAAAAACTATACTGATCAGCTTATATTGAAATAAAAAGAGTAACGTACGTTAGTGCAGATATCCTAATCATAAAACGCGGATACATAATTTTGAGGGCTTCTCGATCGTCGTATATATTATTGTTGCATCAATCCGGATAAAGATTGCTCTATATATTAGGAATTTGAAGAAGAGAAGACATCTACAAACTGCTAAACTCAAATTTAGATGGGAGAAATAAAAGGAAAATCTCATTGACATTATCTGGAAATATTTTCAGCTTGTTTTTCTTAACAAACATGAAACAACAGTCGTGGTCCGTTTTTGTTCAGAGTATCCATCTAACGGTTAATATAGATGAGCGTATATAACATTAACATGCACGTCGTTACAGCCAATCATAGCTCTTGTTTTCGTTTCATGTTTACCTTTTACGGCGAGCATCTACGTGTGCGCGAATGCTGAAATCTTCACGGGAAATCTAGAGACGACGAGAGGAAAAGGATGACACTTTTCCTCAGATCCACGATCACAAGAACACTCTTCCTTGTGTGATTCCCCAAAAAACCTCTTTCATTAAAAAAAAAAAAACGAAACAAAACAAACAAACAAACAAAAGATTAGATTTTTAGGTTAGGTGAGAAACGAATAATGGAATCGGAGCTCAAGGATATGAATTCGAATCCACCGTCGAGCAAAGAGGAGCGGCCTTTGCTCAAGTCAGAATCCGATGTCGCAGCCGCCATTGAAGAGCTTGACAAAAAGTTCGCGCCTTACGCGAGGACGGATTGGTACGGAACGATGGGTTTGGGTCCTTTTCCGGTCACGGAGAAAATTAAGCTGGCGGTGGCAATGGTGACGCTAGTTCCAGTGCGGTTTCTTCTGGCGATGACCATCTTGCTTCTGTATTACTTGATATGTCGGGTGTTTACGCTGTTCTCGGCTCCGTATCGTGGAGCAGAGGAAGAGGAAGAAGAAGGTGGAGTGGTTTTTCAGGAAGATTATGCTCACATGGGAGGATGGAGAAGAACTGTTATCGTGCGCTGTGGGAGGTTTCTCTCTAGGGTTTTGCTTTTCGTTTTTGGGTTTTATTGGATTCACGAGACCCGTCCAGATGAAGATTCAGCCAGTTCTAAAACTACTTCTGCAGAGGTACAAGCTATAGCTATGTTTTCCTAAGGAACTTGTAAGCGAGTTATAAGGAACCTTAAAGCTTCAGGCTTTTGTTGTTAGAAGGATAGATATATTTTGGAGGCCATTAATTGGGTAGGATTGTAGACTGTACGACAGTTTTGGCTCAAAGAAGAAGTTTGGTTGTTGTACAATTTATTAGGTTGGTCCTTATCTGGGACCTCTTTTTTGCTGAAATTGAACCAATGTCTCTGTTCCCACTGATGGCTCGGCTTTTGTTTCTTTTCTATTTCTAAATTCGTTCTGCCATTTGCTATATAGATTGACCAGAAAGGCGAAACCTTGGAGAAGGAACCTGAACGACCTGGAGCCATCATTTCCAATCACGTTTCGTACCTGGACATTTTGTATCATATGTCTGCTTCTTTCCCAAGTTTTGTTGCCAAGGTTAGTTGATAGTTTTATGCTATATGGTAGTTCTGTTAAATTACTTTCTGAAGTTCACAATTTTATATATCTTTTTCTGGCAATGACAATTACATAACATTTATTTGTGTGTGCTCCCTCCATGATTTTTGCTGCTGAAGAGATCAGTGGGTAGGCTTCCCCTTGTTGGCCTCATCAGGTTAGTTGTGAATGACTTATCTAAGCTCATGTGACAATCTTTGTAGCTCATCACAATTTCAAAATTTCCTTCGATCATCTCAAACTTGGTGATATTTTGTTGTCTTTTTATGACAGCAAATGCCTTGGTTGCGTCTATGTTCAGCGAGAAGCAAAATCGCCTGATTTCAAGGGTGTATCTGGTATGTGATTTTTACTAGAGAAATTTCTTTTCAGCTTTCCAAGCACCAAAAAATCTTTAGCTAGTGTATGCTTGTCTGGTTATTTTACTTCCTTTCTTCAGCACTCTGTGTTATCCACCACATTTAGAAAATTTACTAGCTAAATTCTCACTTAATCTCTAATGCTGCTCGACATAGTCTTTCATATTATATTTTTTTCTTTCTTTTCTTTACAGGCACAGTAAATGAAAGAGTTCGAGAAGCTCATCGGAATAAATCTGCTCCAACTATTATGCTTTTTCCAGGTTCAGTATTGCTCCTTTAATTAATTCATTGACCGAAAGCATCATTGATTCCTTAAAAACTTTTGTTTTGATCTCACTGCAGAAGGAACAACTACCAATGGAGACTATTTACTTACATTCAAGACAGGTGCATTTTTGGCTGGAACTCCTGTTCTTCCGGTTATTTTAAAGTACCCATACGAGCGTTTCAGTGTGGCATGGGATACAATATCCGGTGTGAGTATTTCTTTTTAACAAACTCGCTACAAGTTTTCTTAGAAAGTTTTCTCTTTAAAAACAAATCACCGTTTCTTGTTTTCCAGGCACGCCACATTGTTTTCCTTCTCTGCCAATTCGTAAATCACTTGGAGGTGATACGGTTACCTGTATACTACCCGTCACAAGAAGAGAAAGATGATCCCAAACTCTATGCTAGCAATGTACGGAGATTAATGGCCACCGAGGTATTTGCTTCTTTTAACCTCAGTAAAACTAGAGACATGTATATAGTTTTTGCTTGTGTGTTATCATCGTTTACTCACTCTTGCCTCTGCGTTTCTCCTGTTGCTTGCAGGGTAACTTGATTCTATCGGATTTGGGACTTGGAGACAAAAGGATATATCACGCGACCCTCAATGGTAATCTTAGTCAACTCCGTGTTTTCCATCAGAAAGAAGAATGAAATTTTACTGGCCTGACAATGTCTGTAATGTAGTAGTCATTACCAAGAACAAAACCATGACCGTCATTGAATAATGGATCTGTGATATTAATAAAAAATAAAAGTTTGATTCCACAACTCAAGCTTTCTCTTGGTGTCGTTTTTAACTATGTGTTATAGTGAGTTTTCAATAAATCAGAAAAGAAGCTGTGGCTGGGATGGAAAGTTTGGGCATGTAAATCTGAAGCAATCTCTTTCGTGTTCGTGCAGGTTTGTTTTGCAAAAGCTAATATGGACACTCGAAATTCGTGGTCCGTAGATTTCATTTATTCATAGGAGAAGGAAACACTTTAACACAACTTTAGTAATATACACAAAACATCTCTTTTTCTATATATGATCATATCTCATATCTGAAATTTTGTATCTTTTGCCTCTTAATCTCCTGCTGAGGCAACTTTCTAGATCCAGACACACCCCCAAACAGCTCTTCGTCCTCCTAAGAAAATCACTGAAGATCATCGATAAATGCCAGGTTGAAATCTTGCAGGAGAACTCAACTTAAAATATTTAATTTTCTTGATTCTTATTTCTTCTAACAGGAGAAAACAACTGTAGCTTAACCAGATAATACATGGTGATAAAGCTTCTCTCTTTCTTCCTTCTTACGGACAAAAGAATAAACAAACAGAACAGAGCTACTATTATAGGTAGACCGTCGACAGGACATGTGATGAAAACTAGCTAGGGTTCTTCTGCTCCTTCTTCTTCTTCTTGTTGTATCATGTTCACAAGCATATCGACCTGCTCTTTCAACATTGTGTTCTCTCTCTCGATCTCTGTTCTCTTGCTTCTCTCTTGTAGCAGCTGAAGTTGCAAGTGCTCCAAGCAACGTGAATCCTCTTCTAGCTGCTCGTTTAACCCATCTATCTCTCGGTCCTGTTCAAATCCCTAAATCAAAAGTTCCAACAACAAAAAGAAAAAAAAACTGCGTCATGTGTTGTTTGTTTTACCTTTCTGTTCATTTCTTGGACAGCGATTCTCCGCATGCTCTCGACTACATCAACATTCACCAGCTTCCTCTTCTTACCGATCAACCAGCCTTTCGGGTAGTTTGCAGACTCGAAATCTGGAGGTGGCAACAATGAATCAGCCGCTGTTGGTCGCTTTCCATTCAAGTTTGTAATCGGTTCGAGTGGCTCAAACAGAGCTTTTCTTTTCTCAGACAGGACAGGAGTTGTGGCTATTGGTTCCCCAACTTTCTCGCTTTCCATCATTGTTGTCTCATTCTTCTCTGGTGTGATCTCCATAAAAGCTTCCGGTGCCTTGTCTGGGTTCACCGATGCTGCAATCGAAGTTGTTTACGCTTAGAGTTGCAAACGCACGTATATCATATCGGATCAGACCACAATTAAAGCCATAGCCTTTTGATTTTCCAAGCTTAAGACAGAGAGACGAGGACTACTAAAGCTTACCTGTCCAGATCTCTGAACAGAGACTATAAGGAAACAGTTCACAGAGAGCTAATTTTCATGCATGGCTAAAACAATTGATAAGTTTCTGCTTTAAGCCCAAATCTTTCAGACCGAAACAAGTGAAGGGACAGCTACAAAATCTGATAAAACAAGAAACAGAGAAGAGAGAGAGAGGAACCTGATCTTTTCCTTGATTTCCACGCGATCTTGGTGGTAGAGACAGGGAAAAAACCGCCGACAAATCCATCACTAATTGTCTTCTTCTTTTTCGAATCCTCTCCCTCAAATCCAACTCCTTTCTCCATTTAATCTGAAATTTTTCCCTAGAAATTAAACCGATACACGATTTGGAGAAAGAGAAGTTGAAGAAGAAGAGAAAGAAGATAACGTACAAGGGATCAAAAATCCCCTCTCCGTTGGATTTCAGTTGAACGGTAATGATTTGGCGTTTCGGTTACGACTTCGAAAGGCTTTTGCTTTGTTCTTCAGACTTGTGAAATGTTTTTTTTTTTTGGTTTTGTTTCTTTTTTGAGCTTTGAAATTAGAAGTCGTCAACAGTTGTCTTATCGTTTTCTTCTGTGGGACCCATTGATACACAGTAAACATGCCAAAACGCACATTGTGCCGTTTTGGGAACCAATAACAGGATATCATGCCGGCAAGAGCGGCTAGCGTAACACATAAATATTAATAAAAGGTTTAACAATAAAATATTAAACTAAAAAATGCCTCCTAAAATTATGCCGTTTTATGAAAGAATCAAATACAGATTATGCTGTTTTATGAAAGAATCAGATACACATTGTGCAATTTTATTAAAGAATCATATACACATTGACACATTGTGCATATTGTCCCACTTAAAATAAAATATAGTCTTGGCTATATTAAAGATAGCTACTGATACACACATTGTACCGTTTTATGAAAGAATCAAATACATATTATGTCATTTTATGAAAAAATCAGATATATATTGTACGTTTTATGAAAAAAATTAGATATACATTGTGCATATTGTCCCACTTGTAATAAAATATACTTTTGACTATATTAAGAATAGTTATTGTTACACAGTAGACACATTGTGCCGTTTTGGGAATCAATAATAGGAAATCATGCCGGCTTAAAGAGCGGCGTAGTAACACATATTGTGCCGTTTTTTTTCTTTTCTTTCTCAGTCTATTATCTCTCTTGCTCGGCGATTCAGATCTCGGCGATAATTTTGAGTAGGGTTTGGATAGGCTAGGGTTTTCTGTGATACTGCGCTTTGTGAGCGCGTTTGTATCCGCGAAGGCAATCGAGAAAGGCTCTTCATTCATCTGTAATTCGCTTTTGGGTCGGGTGTTTTCTTAGCTGAGAATTTTGCATCCATGGGTAGGCACGATAGTTCATCCGAGGAAGAGGAGAGAGTGAGAAGGAGAGATAGAAGACGAAGAGAGAGAAGCCCAGAGGGTAGACGGTCGAGGATGGAGACGGAAGAGGCTGGTCGTCGGGTTAGGGTTTCTGACGATGATGACCACAAGAGCTCGCGAAGAGATCTCGAGATTGGGGGTGTTGCAGACGGGGATGATCGAAAGTCGAAGCGAGACGGGAGAGGAAGAGAGAGAAGCCGTGGAGATACGGTGAGAGCTGATACCTCTTCTGATGAGGAATCAGCTAGGCGGTCTAGAAAGGATCGAAGAGAAGTAGATTCGGGTTCTGACGACGATCAGGAAAGAGATAGACGGAAAAAAATGGAAGTAGATGATGATGCTGGTGGTGAGAGGAGGGTAAGCATAGGAAGAAGTAAGGATAGAGTTCGAGCAGGCACTTCTTCTGATGAAGAAGGTGACAAGCATCTTTCAAAGGAAACCGAAGATGGACGAAAGGGTCGTAGAGGCTTGGACGATGAAGACGATGATTTGAAGGGGAATAAAAAGGAAACCGAAGAGGCTGAGGATGATTACGATAGGAGAAGAAGGAAGAGAAGCCCTAAAGACGTGGAGAAGCATGATAGAGAGAGGGGTCATAGGGGTAGCAGAGTCATAGCTGATAAACCTTCTGATGAAGAATATGATAGGCAGAAGAGCAGGAGAGGTAGGCAAGAAAGCGAGAGGAAACGTAGAGATTATGAAGCAGCTGATGACGATGAGGAAGGTGAGATAAAGAGCGAGAGAAGTGGAAAAAAGAGGACTGATGAAGGTCTTTTAAAAAGGGATCGGAGGGAGAGAGACTGGTCTGATGAGCACGAGAACGGGAACCGGCGGAGGGATGTTGAAAGGAAGGATAGGCATCGGAGGGATGATGGAGCTAGAGATGAAAAGGAGAGGAGACACAGTGATAGATATGATAATAGCCAAAGAGACAAGTTGAGAAAGGAAGACAGCAGGAAAAGGGAAGAGAAGAGTGAAGTTGTAAAGCCCAAGTTGCCAGAACTCAATCCATCTGATAACAATGCTATGGCATTGGGAAAAACTGGTGGAGTTTATATTCCTCCGTTCAAGCTAGCACGCATGATGAAGGAGGTGGAAGACAAGAGCAGTGTAGAATATCAACGTCTTACATGGGACGCTCTCCGTAAAAGTATTAATGGGCTGGTGAATAAGGTCAACGCAAGCAACATCAAGAACATAATCCCTGAACTGTTTGCGGAAAATCTCATCAGAGGAAGGGGACTTTTCTGCCGGTCATGTATGAAGTCTCAAATGGCATCTCCTGGTTTCACTGATGTCTTTGCAGCTTTAGTAGCTGTTATTAACGCCAAATTCCCCGAAGTTGCTGAACTTCTATTGAAAAGGGTCGTTTTGCAGCTGAAGAGAGCGTATAAGCGTAATGACAAGGTTTGTCTTTTCAGCTTTTCCAATCTGCCAGTCTTGTCAAGCATTTTGATTTCTATTTGTGTGTTTCATTTTTGTGTGTTTGATTTATACATTTGTGTGTTTCATTTTTGTTTTGCCAGCCTCAATTGCTCGCTGCCGTAAAATTTATAGCACATCTAGTAAACCAGCAAGTCGCTCAGGAGATCATTGCCCTTGAATTAGTCACTATACTTCTGCAAGACCCGACTGATGACAGTGTCGAGGTGGCTGTTGGATTCGTGACGGAGTGTGGTGCGATGCTTCAAGATGTTACACCAAAAGGATTGCATGGTAAAAATCCTTTCAACCTCTCTTTCTTTTGGTGAAATTCTGGTTTGTTATATTGAGAAACATTAGTTAGCTTGTATTTTCACCTAAACCATCAAATTATTTCACAAGTCAATGATTATTGACATATGCTGCTTTGATAATAATCTAGTTCATCTCTTGTTAAAGGATAACGCTGAAATCTGGTTGTGTATCTAAGCGATTCACTTCACGCATTAAACCGTTTTTTCATGTGTTACGTGTTATATATTGCCATGCGTCTTCCTTTTTATTTTGCGTCCTAAGCTCTTCCAATTGTTAATACAGGGATTTTTGAGCGGTTTCGTGGTATACTGCACGAGGGAGAGATAGATAAGAGAGTTCAGTATTTGATTGAAGGGCTCTTTGCTATTAGGAAAGCGAAATTTCAGGTAAATATACTTAAGACCGAACTTGTTTGAATTATATTCTCTTATTATGGGCTGTAGCATAGATGATAGTACCATGCTTTGTTTTCACAAATAGCTTAATGCTCATGAAATTTTGTGAATGATTTGCTCTCAGGGACATCCGGCTGTTCGTCCTGAGCTAGATCTCGTGGAAGAAAAATATTCGCATGATGTTTCTCTTGACGATGAAATAAATCCTGAAACCTCTCTCGGTAAGCTTGCTATTTAATGTTTACCCCATGGTTCTAGAGAGACAGGTTACTTTAGTGAGACAGCTCTTAATTTTGAAAATTCTCCCTCATTTTTATGTTTGCAGATGTTTTCAAACCTGATCCTGACTTCCTTGAGAACGAAAAGAAGTACGAGGCGCTGAAGAAAGAGTTACTTGGTGAAGAGGAGTCCGAGGATGAAGATGGCTCTGATGCTAGTTCAGAGGATAATGATGAGGAGGAAGATGGTTCTGATGAAGAAGATGAAGAACAAATGAGAATAAGAGACGAGACAGAGACTAATCTTGTTAATCTAAGGAGGACAATATACCTGACCATAATGTCCAGCGTTGATTTTGAGGAAGCAGGTCACAAGTTACTTAAAATTAAACTTGAACCTGGTCAAGAGGTAATTCTTTCCAAACTCTGATTATGTGTTTTGCTGCTTTCCGTTTTTTTCTGCTTTAGTGTTTGATATTTTATTCAGTCCATCTTAAAAGTTTGTGATTTGCTGGAAGTACACAAGGTTTATAACATTCTTATCCAACTCCATGTTGCAGATGGAACTATGCATAATGCTCCTGGAATGTTGCTCCCAGGAGAGAACATATCTGCGCTACTACGGATTGTTGGGTCAGCGTTTCTGTATGATCAACAAAATTCATCAAGAGAATTTTGAGAAATGTTTTGTTCAGCAGTATTCCATGATCCATCGTCTCGAGACGAACAAGTTGCGTAATGTGGCCAAGTTCTTCGCCCATTTATTGGGAACAGATGCACTTCCGTGGCATGTCCTTGCCTACATTCGGTTAACCGAGGAGGACACAACTTCCTCATCTCGTATCTTTATCAAGATCCTTTTTCAGGTAACTTTGATCAACAACACATTCCGTGAAACTCATTTTACCCATTTCAGAGCTATTTAGCTCATCGGTCTGATTGGAGATGGGTCATGTGATTGATTAATTCCTTGTTTCATATGATTACGTAGTCAGCCATCTGAAAGGATGGATATGTTACTGCACAATGAGGACTCTGCTAGGGAATTTTGTTTTTGAGACTGTTGTGTTGATGTGGTTACTACTTTGCATTGATTGCAGGAATTGTCAGAACACTTGGGGATTAGGCTACTTAACGAGAGGCTTCAGGATCCAATAATGCAGGAATCACTCGAGTCCATCTTCCCTAAAGATAATCCAAAGAACACGAGGTTTGCAATCAACTTCTTTACTTCCATTGGTCTTGGAGGTATCACAGAGAGTCTCAGAGAGTACCTGAAGAACATGCCACGCCTCATCATGCAACAACAGAAGCAAGTTGTGGAATCAGAATCTGGATCATCGTCTGGATCTGATAGTTCTGGTTCTGGTTCCGAGTCTGATTCTGAGTCGGATTCTTCGTCTTCTTCTAGTTCGGATGAAAGTGACAGAGAGAAGAGGAAGCGAAGAAGAAGAGCTTGAGTGGTGGTTGTTTTGCTTGTTATCTCTACCAAAATTCTTCAAATTTTCACATGGTTCACATCTTGTTTTGGTGATTCAACTTGAATTTATATGAGAACTCAATGAGCATCTGGTTCTGTTCTTGCATATCAACTATAAATTAAGCTGATAAACTTTTTTTTTTTGGGTTAATGGTCTAAATTCTAAAGGAGACGTTTTTATTGATTATAAAAGTTAGAAATGATTTTCATACATAAGATTAGAACGACACACAGTATGAAGCTAACAGATGATAATCGTCTGCAAAGCATGTTCTAAATACACTAGCTTTCTATTAAATGTAATATCAATTGAATTAATTGTGAAAATGATGATTTAGATTTAAGGCCATATATATTTATGAGTGAATTAGCTCAAGAACAATGATTCCCTCACAATTTGGTGCATTTGTTATCCACAAATGTATAGGAATTCGTTTGCGTGTCTTGATGAGAATCATGAGATATTTTGTATCGTGAAATTGTGAAGGAATCTTTCTTGTATTTTTTTGGTCCTTCATATTATTTCGGATAAGAACGCAATAATATCAGTCGTTTTAAAAAAATGTCAGTAACATCATCAATTGAACCCAAAAGAAAATAGAATATATCAAAGTTTTACTATGGTGTAAAGGCTTTTCGAATCTCGTAATAACAATTATTTTAGGAAGGAATAAAATAGATTGTGGGTACTCTTAGTTTTGTCATTTTTGTGAACCTACCCACAGAATCGAAAACATAATATATCAGTAAAGAAAGCTGAACTGTACTTAATTAAAAAAAACTGTACTTAATTACATCTTTAAATACAAATACCATGTAAAAGTAGTAAAGTACCAACCTATCCAACATTCCCCTTGTCTTTCACATTTTGTTAAACCACACACCAGAATTTAGACCCCAACACATTTGATTGGGTTGCTTTATTTGTTTGTTTTTTTGTTTTTTTTAAACCATAATAACAAAAAGGAAAAAGGAAAAGTAGGAATAGATAAATGTTTTATCTATTTTAGAAAAAAGGAAATAGTAAAAAACCATTTGGCCTTGGAAATCGGTAGCGTTATGGATAAGGACACTTTTAGATGACAAAAAAATGAGTCACCGTTCCTCTGTCTATATAATCCGCCTCTCTCTCTCCCTATCCCCCAATCCACAAATCCAATTATTGAACCTTCAAATTTACTTCAATCACAAAAAAAAAACTTGTCCACTTTTTGTTTTCCGGGAAATCATATAACCGCTAAAGTGAAAAAAATATGACTATTGCTTTAACGATCGGAGGAAACGGCTTCTCGGGTTTACCCGGATCGTCGTTCTCATCATCTTCTTCATCATTTCGATTAAAAAACAGCAGAAGAAAGAACACGAAGATGCTGAGCAGGACAGGAGTCATTTGTTCTTCATCTTCTGTAATGGATCCGTATAAGACCCTTATGATCCGACCCGACTCATCCGAATACGAAGTCAAGAAAGCTTTCAGGCAACTCGCCAAAAAGGTTTTGACTTTTTTCTTGATCGATCATTAAATTCTATCTTGCGAAAGAAAGATTCGATTTTTCACCGATTTTTTTTTCTCTGGGTTGCTGAAATTGATCGATTTGTTTTGTATGCAGTACCATCCTGATGTTTGTAGAGGTAGCAATTGTGGCGTACAGTTTCAGACAATCAACGAAGCTTACGATGTAAGTGTGTGATTATGAAACCATCTAATTTTGTTGTTCAGTAAAATCAATGTGATGTTTGGTTGTAAAAATTGATCTCCTTTTCCCTTTGGTTTTTGGTAGATTGTGTTGAAGCAAATAAAGAATCAGATGGAGGGAACGGAAGAATTTGAGCCGTTCGATGTTTCTGACGACGGATTCAACGGAATGAATGATCCAGATTGCGACACGTGGGAGGAATGGATGGGGTGGGAAGGTGCAGGAATCCGTGATTACTCGTCTCACGTTAATCCTTATGCTTGAAGCTTTGAAGATTTCACAAATTTCGAAATGATCCAATGCACATAATAAATAACAGCAGAGACTAAATGAACAATGTAAATATGTGAAATTGTCTCGTGAAAGTTACTTAAAATGTAAATCTCAACATTCACGCTTTAAGCTTTTAGGCTTTCGTGAATATGGAAGTATTAATAATTAGATTTAAAGTTTGTTTGACCTTTTGAAACCCTTTTGAAACCGTCTAAGGGTCTAGTTTCTATGATTTCTGTTAAATCAAAAATCTATCCATTTCTTTTCAACCATTTTTTTTTTTCAAAGATACTATTATAAAAAAACAAAACAAGAAATCTAAACGACTCAAAAGACTTCAAAAAAGTATTTATTTTGCAAGTTCTCGTTTGCAGAATTTAATCCATGGAGAACGCTCCGCTGCAGTACCTGAAGAGATTCAGAAAGATGAACATCTTGTCCTTTGCTTATGTTGAAAAACTCAAATCATGGAGTAGTTGTAACAAAAAGGATTTACCTGTTGCTGAAACTTTGGACAGAGTCTGTAGCATCAAGAAGAGTTTCACTTGCTTTCTCCAGAGCCATGTAAAGCTCTTTACCTCTGGTTAGACGAGCGATGGCCCACGCGTTGTTCTTTGCTCGAATGCATATTTCCATGTCTTTCTCTTGACTCGAGCGGCTCTTTTCTGAATCCACTGTTTCCCTTAGCTTGTTTAGTGCAAGCAAAGACTCCTACGAAGAGAAACTTTTGTGAGTTTTGACACACTTTTGGTCATGAGATCGCAGTATATGATTTTTGGGAGTTGTATCTTTACCTTTGCTAAAGTTGCTACCTTTCCCGGCGGAGAAGCTCTGGAAACTTCCATGTCATTATCAACTAGCAAGTAACGGTAACCGCTTACATGGTAAGCGTTTTCACCGCCCCATCCTTTCGATATCTTCTCTTCAACTTTCAAGATTTTCGTAGATGCCTGCCAAAACACATTTCAATGATAAGAGATGAAGCCCGAAAAGTTTTTACAGTGAAGCAAAAGAGAGGGAGGAGCTAACGTTTTCAGTAACTTGGTGCTTCACGAATGAGATGTCTAGCTCTCCATTAACAATGGCAGCGCTAGGCACGAGGAGAACCAAGGTGAGACTTTTGTATTGATAAGCTAAAAGGTAAACTCTTTCTTGCGTCTGCTGTAAACAGATTGTCGGAGTGGCATCTTTACCCCAAATATCTGTTACAAGAAATGAGTCCTTCCCTTTCGACCATTTATCGTGTTGTAATGGCCTAACAACACGACAGGCGTCATTACCATTTCCTGAAGGCAATGGATCACTTGAACCAAGAAGTTGCGCTGAGGTAGATCTAGAAGAGATTTGAGATAAACTGGATCCTTTGCGTAGATATGACCAGGACCTCGTCCCAGAGGATAGCGCGGTTGTGGTCAATCTCATGACAGAGAATGTAAACAAGTCGACGGTATCATCCTGACAATCGAGGAAGAGGTGCCAAAGATTATAACTGTAAGTATTGGTGGACTATATAGTCTACACATACCATGGCAAATCAAGAATCTTATGGGCACAACGGTCTTGGGTTAGGATATTGCGACTAAGGGATTTGAAAAAACATACAGGTGAGAGAGTTGTTGACACCAGTAGGTCATGGAATAGAATCACAGAGTGGCATCGAACGGTCCCAGCACATGAATCTAGCACTCCGACAAGAGACTGTACATCTAAGAAAATACTAGTCACAACTCACAATAGTGAACAGTTATAAGTGTCTTACTGCGAAATGGATTTTCTGAAAACAGACCTGAACTTCAAGTGCCGCATCCCTTGCTAACGTAAGCATTTGAACTGTTTCACGTTCTCTCAAAGTATCACGGAAGCAAGGTAACTGAAGTTTCTTCCCAACGATAAAATCTGCCCCAAAATGAGGAAAACCCTTTGATAAGTGCTATGACAAAGGGATTTGATGTTGTAGATTTGGTGGATGTTGTTTACCATTTAGATAGTCTGTGATGAATGGATACAGATGCGATCGGATAAGCCCTCCAGCTGGTTCTTTTTCAAGCAATGCCCTAATTGATCCGTGAAACATAACAAAGAGGGAGTGCACTTCTTTAAGCATTCTCCGCAATGCGTCAACCCTCCATGTGGCTTCAATCTCCTTATTTTTCTCAACAACCTGCCAAAAATTTAGTATCCATTTTTCTTGTTTTCTTTATGCATATGAATAATGTGCAATTCAAGTAAAAAGAGTGGATAATGCTGTACCATGACCATCCATATATCGGGCTCGGCTTCATAGAAAACATGGGAATGTCTCTCTGCTTCTATTACCTCGCAAGCTGCCTCCGGGGAGAAAAGTCTGCATTTAGATTCCATTAACCACGTCAAAAAAAAAAATTTCAATGCAAAACGTAACTTCTGATCCTCAATATTCATGTGAAGATGATCCACAGAGAGAAACACCATTGAATCCACGAGGTCGAATATCTGGAAAGAGAAGAAAAATCTCCAGCATCTGACCTCGTAAAGGTGATAAGCCCTTCGCTGAGCCCGATAAGCGATAGCTGCGTGGTGAAGGTTACATCAGGAGGATAGAAGAATAGGATCTTGTCCAGTTCATGTCCTTCGTTTTGGCCTCTCCTCAAGTCAAACACGCAAAGTCGAAAGCTTTCACCACCAGAGCTCATGGACGCCATTCCCATAGCTTCTTAGAGCTCATAAACACCCTTTACGCACAGAAAAAACGTGTATCAGAAATCAGGCAATACTTCAACTTTGTGTCTAAGAAATCCATACAAATTAAGGGTTTTTTTTGGCGCATCGATGCAGCAGACACGTAATGCGACAACATAAAAAGATTTCCATTACGATTTTGGGTGATCAGATCATCCCAAGATTGATAATTCGTCGCAAGTTAATCATTTTATTATAGAAATCTCAAAACACATAAAAGGTTATGAAACAAACAAACAAAAACGGGAAATTGATTACCTTGAGGATGAACCCTAAGAACAAAGTCCAAGGAGTAATCGACCACCAATTATTTCAATTGTTCAATGTCCAGAACGTGATTAACGACTTAGATCTGTTAATCGAAACTCGTTACAGGACCAGATTTCAACGGATCGAAATTTCTTAGCAGAAAAATTCCGCGAAACCTCGGAAGGTAGGTGGTGAGAGGAAATTTTGGAAACGGGTCGGTCGATAAAGTTACCGGGTTAGGATCTAATGGTTCGGGTCGTAGAGGATCTTTAGATTCTCATCGGCTTACGTCATCCCTTGTCTTTTCCACGGACACACACACTCTCTCTCTCTTTTTTAAATTGCACGTTGTCATCTCAATCTGAAAACAATTCCAGATTTTTTTTAATGTTGCTAAAAACAATTCCAGACTTACTAATTAATTCTGAATCCTACTTATTAAATGGACAAAATTAATTATCTACCGTGCTTTTCGAGTGGTTTAATGGAAGTTAAGTGCTAAACCGGTAGATATGAGTCTATAAACCAAAAGTAAATTAGTTAATAATCGGTTTGTATTTCGGTTTTAAGCCTCTGTTATGTAATTTTCGTGCACAAGGGCAAAAGGTGCTTGCTTTTGCTCCTTCGCATTCACTCAAGCAAATTAGTTTAAGAGAATCCAACGAAGTCATATCGGCAACCCTCCTCTCGATTAACATCAAGTAAGTGTGAAGTCTGGTCTACAATTTGAGACCTTTTTAGGTTTGGTGATCTTTTCTCTGTTTTATGGTTCCGAGAGGATCCATCTGGTTCTGGGTCCCAATCCGATTCCGTGACTTTTCGGCGTTTGCAGCCCCGATTTGACCGAGAAATTTCAACTCTGAATCGTTTTCTGATCCTCGCCTTAGTGTTGTATGATTTGTTTTCTTAGTGCGAAATTTTTGATAATTTGTGATCAATTTCTAAGGCTGGTTCTTCGTTTTCCGATTACAGTTGGCTAGGATAAAGTAAGAACACGAATATCGGTCTTGATTTCTTTAACCGGAAGTTTGAAGCTTCTTCCTGTATTTCTTTTGAGCCTTTGTATATCCTGGTTGTTGTTTAGTGGAATCTCCGTTGTTGATTCTGCGTCTGATAGAGCAATAGACATTGAAGAGATTCTTGTTATATTTCATCCTTGTACTTTCTTTTGTAGCAAAGCAACAATGTCTGACCTCAAAGAGCGGTTGCTTCCTCCAAGACCTGCTTCAGCTATAAACCTCAGAGGGGATGGAGGGTCTCGCCCTTCTGCATCAGGGAGACAACCTCTCCTTGGAGTTGATGTTTTGGGTCTGAAGAAGCGTGGACAAGGGCTTAAGTCGTGGATCCGTGTTGATACTTTTGCCAATACTCAGGTCATTGAGGTCGATAAGTTCTCAATGATGCGTAGATGCGACTTACCTGCACGTGATTTGCGCCTGCTTGATCCTTTGTTTGTGTATCCCTCAACTATCCTTGGCCGAGAGAAGGCCATTGTTGTAAACTTAGAGCAGATCCGTTGTATTATTACTGCGGATGAGGTTTTGCTCTTGAATTCCCTTGATAACTATGTGCTTCGCTATGTGGTTGAGCTGCAGCAGAGACTGAAGGCAAGTGCTGTAGGTGAGGTTTGGAATCAGGACAGTCTCGAACTGAGCAGGAGGAGGAGTAGAAGTCTAGACAATGTGTTTCAAAACTCATCTCCTGATTATTTACCTTTCGAGTTTAGGGCTCTTGAAATTGCCCTCGAAGCTGCTTGTACCTTCCTTGATTCCCAGGTCAGTCATTTCACTGAATTTGGTATGTTAGCATTGGGAATAGATTTGACTTTTACTCCTTGTAGGCTTCAGAGTTAGAGATCGAGGCATATCCGTTATTGGATGAGCTTACCTCAAAGATCAGCACTTTAAACTTGGAGCGTGTGCGTAGACTGAAGAGCAGACTTGTAGCATTGACGAGAAGAGTTCAGAAGGTTCGGGATGAGATTGAACAGTTAATGGACGATGATGGGGATATGGCAGAAATGTATCTAACCGAGAAGAAGAAGAGAATGGAAGGATCTTTATATGGTGATCAGTCCTTACTCGGCTTCCGATCAAATGATGGTCTTTCTCTTTCTGCACCAGTTTCTCCTGTTTCTTCTCCTCCTGATTCCCGGAGACTTGAGAAAAGCCTGAGCATCGCAAGGAGCCGGCATGACAGTGCAAGAAGCTCAGAAGACGCAACGGAGAATATAGAGGAGCTAGAGATGTTGCTTGAAGCATACTTTGTTGTTATCGATAGCACTCTCAACAAGCTTACCTCGGTAACATTAAAACCGCTCCGTTATATTTATTCATTACATTGATTCAACCAGCAGTTAAAAAAAGCGGTTTAATCCTCTGCAACTCTCTTTACTCTTCAGTTAAAGGAGTACATCGACGATACTGAGGATTTTATCAACATTCAATTGGTAATACCTTTTGAGTCTTGATCATACTTTTACCTTAGTTTATCTGCTTAGAAACAATAAGAGTGTGCTGAAAATTTCTGGGATTTGCAGGATAACGTGCGGAATCAGCTGATCCAGTTTGAGCTGCTGCTAACTACTGCGACATTTGTTGTAGCCATCTTCGGGGTTGTAGCCGGGATCTTTGGGATGAATTTCGAGATAGATTTTTTTGAAAAGCCAGGCGCTTTCAAATGGGTTCTGACCATTACTGGAGTCTGTGGTCTTCTTATATTCTTGGCATTCGTCTGGTTTTACAAACGTAGAAGGCTCATGCCCCTGTGAGGACATAACTACCCCGTCAAGTAGACGATTGCTAAAACTGTTTTTGTTGCTTTTTATTAATCATCTGTAACCTTCACTAATTGGAAACAGTGTTTTAGAGGAAATATTATGAGAATGAAGCTTTAACTCGCAGCAATTCCTCAACCTTCACATTATCTGTATTTGAGAAAACTTTCATTTATTTGATAGAAACTTGAGTACAGTGAATGATACGTATCTGAACTAAAACCACACTGGTTCAGACGTTACTGAGTTATGTGTTTCTATGGACATGAAAAAACACTGAATGCATCATTCACGGCATGTATCTTGACTAGAAAGGTTTCCAAGTGGGGCAGCTGAGAAAAAAGATTGGAGATGACTACTTGTCAGAGGATGAAGATGATGATGAGAGTCGCGCTTTTCGAGCTTTATCAGCTTTTTCCAAGTAATCTTGATGAGAACGATGCTTTGATCCTGAAAGAAATCAGATTTTAACAGCAGTTTAGCCTAAACATAACCCAAGGAAAATACACCACCTCAGATAACCAGATTACATAAAGCATTGAGTGAGATGTAATAAAAACAAACACTGCGTGCTATTGAATCGATGTGTTAGGAGGATTGTTGATTCGTGATCATGAGTGAAAAAAAGCAGAGAAACACGGTAGGATTGTGATCATCATACAAGTCTACGATCCTAACAAGAAAAAACACTACGACTCATTTTTAAATTTTCTCATACTCCACTTGTTCAGTCAATCTATCAAAACCGGCACTTGATTCCATTTGGCAACAAAGTTTAAAGTTTGAAGCTTAAACTGTTATGAGTAGATTCCTAAGCTAGCTTATGAGATCCAATCAGTACTGCACGTATCATTTTCCACATCGATATCAGAATGAAACATTTAAATGAATTAAAAAAAACCTGGACTTTCCTCGTAATTCTCGCATTTTGTCTCAGAATCCAAACAGAAAGAAGTAATATTCAAACAAGCGGCAAAAAAAAATAAATAAAAAAAAACTCGACCTTGATTCATTAGATACCAAGGGATCCCGAAGATGATGGTGATTATCCCGATCCCAGCCAAAACGTGCTTCTTTTCACCACTGTAGACATAGTGCTCCATCTTTGCCCTAAAACCTCCTCCCAAATTTGAAGCTCCGCTGCTCTTGGTCTCATTTCCCATTTCGATCTTCGACAATTTCTCCGAATCAGAATCTCCTTCTAGGGTTTATCAGGAACTGAATTTCGGAGGTTTTACGACCATCATAAATGGGCTTTATTTAGGCCCGTTAACATAACCATATTTATTAATTATTACCATATTAGACCAAGATATTTATCTATTTTTCAAAACTAAAATAGATTCCATTAAACCCCGACTCATAGTTCAGTTTCAGTCCTTGACTTGCGATGAGCTATGCTGCGATTGTTAGAAAGCTAAGGCGAACGCCACAATTGTGGATTGTTCAACATCAGTACCTGCTTCGTGCAGTGTCGAGATCGGTTTCTAACTCATCTTTCCACATTGGTTCTGTCTCTTCAGCATTTCGTCGAGCGGGTCTTGTGCATCCTCAAATGTTAAGCCATGTACCACATTTTATCTTGTCCAATCGATTCTCCACCCAAATCATCTCCGAAACATTTGTTATCAACCAAGCCCTTGCTCCGCTGGAACAAGGTCTGATTGATTTAATCAGACAGGTCTCTGAGTTAGAGTCGGAGGAGGCCGATGCCATAGCTTCTCTAGAGGAGTCATCCTTTGATCTTAATCGTGATTCTTTGTCCTCATTAATCTGGGAATTAAGAGATGAATGGAGGCTTGCCTTTCTGGCATTCAAATGGGGCGAGAAACGCGGCTGCGATGATCAGAAAGCTTGTGATTTGATGATCTGGGTGTTGGGTAATCATCAAAAGTTCAACATTGCTTGGTGTTTGATCCGTGATATGTTTCATGTTTCAAGGGATACTAGAAAGGCCATGTTTCTCATGATGGACAGGTTAGAGTTTCTGTCTTCTTAATTTAGATTTTCTCTTCACCTAGAGAAGATGACAAGTTTCTCTTCTGCTGTTCTTGTTTTGTTAATTTTGACTAGGTATTGAATTTTTTTTCTATGGATTTGATGAAGATATGCTGCTGCTAATGATACTAGCCAAGCTATTCGTACATTCCATATCATGGATAAGTTTAAGCACGTTCCTGATGAAGAAGCATTTCAAGGATTGCTATATGCCTTGTGTAGACATGGGCACATTGAAAAAGCTGAAGAGTTCATGCTTGCAAGCAAAAAGCTCTTTCCGGTTGATGTTGAGGGATTCAACATAATTCTTAATGGTTGGTGTAACATTTGGACTGATGTGACTGAAGCGAAGAGGATTTGGCGAGAGATGGGGAATTACTGTATCACGCCCAACAAGGACTCTTACAGCCACATGATCTCTTGCTTCTCTAAAGTTGGGAACCTTTTCGATTCTCTCAGGCTCTATGATGAAATGAAGAAACGAGGGTTGGCCCCAGGGATTGAAGTTTACAATTCTTTGGTTTATGTGTTGACCCGTGAGAATTGCTTTGATGAAGCTATGAGGCTTATGGAAAAGATGAAGGAGGAAGGATTAAAGCCAGATTCAGTCACTTACAACTCGTTGATACGTCCCCTTTGTGAGGCTGGAAAGCTGAAAGAAGCCAGGAATGTATTGGCGACCATGATAAGTGAGAACTTAAGTCTAACAGTTGATACATTTCATGCATTCCTTGAGGCTGTAAATTTCGATCAAACTTTAGAAGTCTTAGGCCAAATGAAGATTTCTTGTTTAAAGCCTAAAGAAGATACTTTTCTCCTCATTCTTGGAAAATTGTTCAAGGAAAAGCAACCGGAGAATGCTTTGAAGATGTGGGCAGAAATGGCTCGTTTTGAGATAGTGGCTAATCCTGCTCTTTACTTGGCTACGGTACAGGGCCTTTTGACATGTGGGTGGCTTGAAAAGGCCAGAGTGATATATTCAGAGATGAAATCAAAGGGGTTTTCAGGAAATCCTAAGCTCCAGAAACTGCTTGAGGAGCAAAAGGTAAAGGGGGTCAGAAAAAGCAAGAGCAGAGATCTTCAAAAAGTTGGCTATCGGGGAGGCTATAAGGGTCAACGATCAATATATAAAAAGGAATCAGATACGGGTAAGACTTGAAGATTCTGATCAAAGGATCACTCAAGTAATGACTAGATTCTCAGACCTTAAGGTCTTCACTCTTCTGAACTGTGATATGTGCAATCTGCACGAGACCAGAAGCTTTGTTCCTAGCCCATCTGTTCCATTTAGTTTACATGCTTTCACTGCATCCGCCGTGCAATTTTCAAGGTAATTTTTTCTTCCGTTGACCAGATTGATAATCGTTACCTTTGCTTATGCTGGAGGAGAATATCCATGCATCTGCAGTATATTATCACTTGCAACCATGCTGATCTAGTAAATTCTCTCCTGGTTACATGAAAGACATTAGAAACTAGTCTGGTTCTTTATTGTTATATATGCACACAAGGTTCCCATGATCGCTGCACGTTCAAGTACAAGATATTTGAGCTCAATGTGTCAATGATATGAACCAGACCGCGCAACAGGCAAAGGCTGAGCTCAATGTGTTTCAAAGGCAAGATCTTCAGAGCTCTAGTTGTCCATTTTTTATTTTTCTGTGTTCTTTTGTCCTTGGTTTTCGTTATTATTAAATTCTTGTGTCATGACTCATGAGCCATGATGATTGGTACGGCCTTGGATTCTTTTGAGTGTTAGCAATTTTCATGCCGCATTTCAAGGAACCATCATTTTCGTCCATCAAGAAAGTTATGGGTCCCTTGATTTATGAATTGTTTACTTCAGTTTGCAGCTTGCAAGCTTGTGTAATTTTATTACTTAGTTGCTTTTTCAAAATCTAACTTGGTTTTCATTCAAACACAAAAAGAACTTAAAACCAACCAAAAAAAAAACACAAAAGGAACATTCTAACTTGGTTTTCATTCAGAGTATGCCCATTAAACACAAAAGGAACATTTATGATTTATTAAACAAACTTCACTGGCGATCAAATTGAGAAATGTCTCAAGATGAAACTGCAGTTGAACTATAATTGATATCTATTCTAATGGGTTTTTGATGGAATTCGCATCTCCTTCATAGTTTACAAAAATTACAACATAATACAATTCTTAAAAGCTAAAAGCTCTCTTAAGTAACACCCAACAATTTCGACAAATAAAGAAAGGATCAGATCAAACTTCAAACTACTACTCTGCATTGCCCTGTTTTTTAACTTCCCCACTTCGATCTACTGCCATATAATTTTGCTGGAGGTGATGGAGAAAACTCGAAAGCAGTCGAGGAAATCTCCATTTCCCCTCTCAAGATCCTCACAACTTCACTAATATCAGGCCTTAACTCAGGCGCTTTCTGTAGGCAAGCCAAAGCCAAGTTAATGCACAATCCGGCTTCTTCCTTGTTATACACATCCTTCAATTTCTCGTCCACTAGCTCAAGAACATTCCCCGACTGAGCCAATTGCCTACACCAACTCACCAAATTCGCTTTTTCAAGTTTCATAGGCGATGCAAGGACATGTAAAGGCCTCCTACCTGAGATTATCACTAGAATCAGTACTCCAAAGCTGTAGATATCGCCTTTCTCCATTAAGTAACAGCAACCGCCTCCATACTCTGGTGCTATGTAACACAATGTCCCTCTCATACTCGTCGTGCTGCTTAACTCACGGCTGAACAAATCTCCACTCCACATCTCACTCCCCATTGATCTATTATTGTTGTTCTTCTTCTTCTTGCTGCTGCTATTGCTTTTCCTTCGCCATCCTCTTCTGAAGCTAAACTCTCCCGCTGCTTCTCCTTCCCGGTTTTCCACGCTGTTTTCACCCTTACCACGGAAACAGTAACGAAAATGTGAGACTTTTAAACGATTCTTGAACTTGATTCTCAGAACTTTAATCTTCTTTTTATTGTTCATCTCTTCTTGATGTTCCTCCTCTCTCCACCATTCCTCCATATTCCTATGCTTCTTCTTCTTCTTTTTCGATTTCTTGTTCTTCCTCTCACTCATCTCTTCCTTTGCAAACTTCTCTTCTAGAGTGTCAAACCTAGATTCATTCAAACCAGACCCATCTCGATCTTCCGCTTTATCGACTGTCCTAGCCGAAATTCCCAGTTCAGGAGTGTTGATGATCTTCTTCTCATCTTCCCAATCCGGGTTCGCTGTGTGAATCTGACTCCCAATCCATTCCCTGACATAATCTTTACTACACAATTCACCACTCCCTTCCTGCTTCCACCACCAATCTCTCCCCCATTGTTTCGACCCTTTCCCCAAATCTAGAACCGAATTAGGGCTCAAATTCATCTCCTTGCTCTGATCAAACTCATGATCCTCACATGACAACACGATATGATTCACTTTCGAATCATCATCCGCATCGTTTGAAACCTCTTTTCCTTTTGTCTCACCTTCAATAGCTAAGCTCATCGAATTCAGATTCATTGCCTTAATGTTACGACTTGTTCTGCTATTCTTCGAAGATGAAGAAGCTTGTAGAGCAAGAGCGAGAGCGAAATCTACCTCATGATGCGTTGGAGTAGCAAAGCCGGTCTGAGGAGTGCTCTCTCCTCCGAAATTCCCAGAAAGTTCTTGACTTTTCCCCAGATCCTGGCTGAACAAATCAACCCCATAACCTCCCTCCACTTTCACTCTAGACAAACCGAAATCCGAAATCTTTGCCTTAAACTCAGAATCCAGAAGAACATTACTGGGCTTGATATCTCCGTGAATCACTGGTGGGTCACACCCGAAATGCATAAATTCGAGAGCTTTCGCTACATCGAGGACAATACTGAATCTCCTTTCCCAACTCAAGCACGAATCTCCATCTTCGTTGAACAGAAGCTCTTGAAGGCTCTTGTTGGGCATATACTCGTAAATCAAGAACCTCAGATTCTTCTCCACGCAGTATCCTAAAAGGGTGACCAAAAGAGACGATTTTAACCCACCCAGAATCTGTAACTCGTTCTGAAACTCAGTCTCTGTTTGAAGAGAGAGATTATCGAGTCTCTTAACCGCGAAAAGCTTGCCGTCTCTGGTAATGCCTCTGAACACAGTCCCCGAGCCGCCTTTTCCAATCACGTTGGATTCGTCGAAATCGTTCGTTGCTAGTTTAAGCTCTTTGTAAGAGAAAAGCTGGAGCTTTGATGGCGACGCACCAACGTCAGAGAAAGGGATGGTTCTAGAGCGGTTGAGAAGAGAATTCCAGAGGTGATATATGAAGTAGAGAATTGCGAAGAAGATGACAAGAGAAGATGAAATTGTAAGGATCAAGAAGACAACTCTTGTTCTGTTGATGAACAGCTTTGGTCGGGGTGGGTTTGGTCTTGAAGGCATCTCTCTGATCCTTGCTATTGAATTTGAAAGATGGAATTGTTTCTGAACATTCGGTATCTAACTCTGAATCTAGTCGTTGAGAATGTGTAGAGGAAAAAAGCTGTTCATGAGTTTGCTTTTTTTTCTTTATAGTTTACTTTGAGAATTAAAAATCTTAAAATTATATTCCACGTTCAAAAAATATAGATTTGATTTTCATATACTGAGAAATCGAGGTTCAAACTGCATAATAATTACGTATAGAGAAATAGAAAAAGAAAGAGGCATACTATAGTGGATGGATTTGACAAAAAATGAAAGATGACAAAAAAAGTTGTAATTAAAAAAGAAAGTTAGGAAATGATAATGTTGTTTTTTAATGATGATGTTACTTGCTTTTGGGTAGTGGATCATACAGTGATGTTTAAGATTAGACTTTTCTCGTTAAAATACGCATTTTTTTGTCCTCGTCGTTTACTTGCTCAAATATAAATTGAACTTTTGGATAACTAAGAGAGGAGATTAGTTAGTTTGTTAACGATATTCAAGAAAAAAAAGAAAGAGAAGAAACTAGTTAACGAGTTGGGAGGCGAAATGTCCAAGATCCGCTTTGACTGCTTCGGGAGTTATGCGTAAAATATTGATTTTGTAATTTTGCCCAATATCTTTAATATACACGTAATTTACCCCACTTTTATAGTCTTGTCTCTACGATAAAAATAATATTTTAGCATCAACCATAAGCAAAACATTGCTTTGATCACACTCGGAGTTGAAAAGGACGTAGTAGCTGTTTGGCAAAATCTGCACGAATCTCAAAGATTGCAATGGATTTTTATGTTCAATTCGAGGGATTTTGGAAAGAAAGAACCATAACGATTTTGGTATTGTTTCGACAAATATAATGTTTAAGGTCATAAAGAAACAAAAAACTCTATGGGATGTCCCATTCTTTATGTTGTGATAAATTCATGAGTGGATGTTTGTGGACCAACAGTTTCATGTGCACTCAGATTTTTGAATTTTTTTGTTATAAGAAAAAAAAAATAAAGGAGTGAGCAGGGAGTCAGGGTAAAAGAATCTCCACTGTCTTTTTGTTGTATTGCATGCGCTCTTACAATGTTCAATTTGAACAATGGCTATTTTTTATTCTTTTTAGAAATTGGTGAAGAGTCGACACGGTCCAGTGGTATTCGTAATTCCACTGAGTCTCTTTTTTTTGGCTTGATCTTTAGCAGTTTAGCTTGTCACCTGTTTGGTATTTGTTATATGTCCGAGATGTTGTATATACATAATGCCATAGAAAAAAAACGAGCTATTTCCAATCCATAAAATATGTTATATATAGCCTGTAGAATTACTTCAAGAACCTATTTTTTTTTTTTGCTTTATAGGACAAATTATCTCAAACATCCTTTCATCGGAGAAATCGGCCAGTTGTTGTGTCCCGTAATATTTTTAGATGTGGTAATTTTATAGTCGAGTAAAATTTAAAATTTAAAATATTCATATGAGTACTAACTTTTTTGTCAACATTAATTCGAAACCTTACTCTTGTTAAATCGTTAATGAGGATGACTTGGATGCCATGTGTCCATTTACTTTAGAATGAAATAGCAAGCCAAATTATATAGGATTGGAAAATAATATTACTGGGACTTATTTTCTTGATAAAAAGAGAATTATTACTGTTGTGGAAATTAAATAGCAAAAATGTAGTAATTGTAGTCCTCAGAATTTGGCTTGAACGGGATTTAACCGGTATATTGATTTGGTTACAGCCATGACTACGTGGCACTCTTCCGTTTCTCTCTCCCCCAGCTTCCTCCGCCATGTAAGGTGGGAATGCGTAATTCTTTCTCCTTCCTTTCTTCTTCCCCAAGTTTCAAACCCTAGATCCTAGAAATGTTCAGACCCTTCTCGTCATTACCAATCACCGTAAGTCTGGGAGATAAAGATAAATTAGGAATTTTGCTCTGACAGCTTTTGTTAAAACTTAATATATCAGGTTTCTTTTTATATGATTTTTTTATCAGGTTTGTTCATGAAAAAAGAGAAATAAATTTTGAATATTGCTAGGCTTTGGTTCGCACATATGTGATCGATTCTCCGAGAAAATGTACAAATCCCAATATATAGGTGGCCAGAGAGAAAAATTCGTAAGGTAAAAAGAGAAACAAAATCAACGAGATTGATCCTTGTTTCACGTTGTTGAATCAGATTCAGTTGTTTTAACCCCCTCGTGATCTATGAATGTCGTTGTTAATATCTTAATGACAGGTTAGATGATACAGATTCGAGGGTGTCAATGTCTTCTACTGCTACAGGAATGAAGCGATCCTGTTTCGGATTGTTCAACCTAACTGGCCGAGGAGGAGGAGGAAAGACGAAGAACACATCCAAATCCTTTAGGGAAGGCGTTAAAATCGGATCTGAGGGTCTAAAAACAATCGGAAAATCTCTGACATCAGGCGTGACGAGAGCTGTTTTCCCAGAAGATCTAAGAGTATCCGAAAAGAAAATCTTTGATCCTCAAGACAGAACACTTTTGTTATGGAACAGAATGTTCGTTATCTCCTGTATCCTTGCTGTCTCTGTTGATCCTCTCTTCTTCTATCTCCCGATAGTCGACAACTCAGGGAACTGCATTGGAATCGACTCTAAATTAGCTGTGACGACTACGACTCTTAGAACGATCATCGATGTTTTTTACCTGACACGAATGGCTCTTCAGTTCCGTACAGCTTATATTGCTCCTTCCTCTCGTGTGTTTGGAAGAGGCGAGCTTGTGATTGACCCTGCAAAGATTGCTGAACGTTATTTGACTCGTTATTTCATTGTCGATTTCCTCGCTGTCCTTCCTTTACCTCAGGTAAAAAAAAGATTCACTCTTTTGTTTCTATTTACTAAAGTTTCAATCTTTGTGTGTATACTTTTGAGTGAACCTTCAATCGTTGAGTGTTTACTAAAGCTTCAGTCTTTGTGTGTTTAGTATTCACTAGCTAATTTAAGCGTGAATCTTTGTGCTTTACTATATTATGAAAAAGCTTCACTCTTTCTGTTTCTATTTACTAAAGTTTCAATCTTTGTGTGTATACTTTTGAGTGAATCTGTAATCGTTGAGTTTTAGTGTTTACTAAAGCTTCAGTCTTTGTGTGTTTAGTATTCACTAGCTAAAGCGTGAATCTTTGTGTGTTACTAACTCAGTGATCATTGGATATGTATTGATTTCTTGAACTGCTTATTCTTGGTGTTGCTCTTGCAGATTGCAGTGTGGAAATTTCTTCATGGATCTAAAGGAACAGATGTATTACCGACGAAACAGGCATTATTACACATAGTGATCACTCAGTACATACCGAGATTCGTTAGGTTTATTCCTTTAACATCAGAGCTCAAGAAAACCGCAGGAGCGTTCGCTGAAGGTGCTTGGGCTGGTGCTGCTTATTACCTCCTTTGGTATATGCTTGCAAGCCACGTAAGCTTTTCAAAATCCATCCCATCATTAGGTTAAAAATTCAGACAACAGCTTTTTTGTGCTTAATTTGTCTCTGTTTCTAAAATGTTGTTTTTACTTTGGCAGATAACTGGTGCGTTCTGGTACATGCTGTCTGTGGAACGGAATGATACATGTTTGAGATCCGCTTGTAAAGTCCAGCCGGATCCTAAGCTCTGCGTTCAGATTCTGTATTGTGGCAGCAAATTCATGAGCAATCGAGACACCGAGTGGATCAAATCAGTCCCTGATCTATTCAAGAACAACTGTTCTGCTAAAAGCGATGATTCTAAATTCAACTACGGGATCTATAGCCAGGCTGTGTCTTCTGGAATTGTATCGTCGACAACGTTTTTCTCCAAGTTTTGTTACTGTCTTTGGTGGGGTCTTCAAAATCTCAGGTTAAAAAACATTGAGATCAACGAATAACTGTTAGTTTAGTGATGTAAATTTTAACATCTAGGGTGTATTTTTCGTGTACAGCACGTTAGGTCAAGGGCTGCAAACGAGTACATATCCAGGAGAAGTTCTATTTTCAATTGCAATTGCTGTAGCCGGGCTTCTCCTGTTTGCACTTCTCATAGGAAACATGCAGACTTATCTTCAGTCACTTACGGTTCGTCTAGAGGAAATGAGGGTCAAAAGACGCGATTCTGAGCAGTGGATGCACCATAGGTCACTTCCGCAGAACTTGAGGGAACGAGTAAGACGCTATGATCAATATAAATGGTTGGAAACAAGAGGTGTCGACGAAGAAAACATAGTCCAGAGTTTACCAAAAGATCTCCGAAGAGACATCAAACGCCATCTCTGTCTGAATTTAGTTCGCAGGGTAAGTTTTATTAAAAATGAGGATGTGAATTGTCAATAGATTTATACTTGACTCGCAAGGAACAATGTGTTTTTCATTTTTTTTAATAGGTTCCTCTGTTTGCTAATATGGATGAGAGATTACTAGACGCGATCTGTGAGAGACTGAAGCCTAGTCTATACACAGAGAGCACTTATATAGTGCGAGAAGGAGATCCGGTTAACGAAATGCTTTTCATAATCCGAGGCCGGTTAGAGAGTGTAACGACAGATGGTGGACGAAGCGGTTTCTTCAACAGAGGGTTATTGAAAGAAGGTGACTTTTGTGGTGAAGAGCTTCTGACTTGGGCGCTTGACCCTAAAGCAGGCTCCAACTTACCTTCTTCTACAAGAACAGTGAAGGCTCTAACTGAAGTAGAGGCTTTTGCCTTAGAAGCTGAAGAGCTTAAGTTTGTGGCAAGTCAGTTTAGGCGTCTTCATAGTCGTCAGGTTCAACAGACTTTCAGGTTTTACTCTCAACAATGGAGGACTTGGGCTGCTTGTTTTATCCAAGCCGCTTGGCGTCGGCATTTAAGAAGGAAAAATGCAGAGCTAAGACGTAAAGAAGAAGAAGAAGAAGAAGAATTAGATTATAAAGATGATTACGATTATGATGATAATGTGGGTCTGGTTACAAGGAGTGATAGTTCTGTTGGTTCAAGTTCTAGATTGCGTTCCACGGTATTGGCATCAAGATTTGCTGCTAACGCGCTAAAGGGTCATAAGCTAAGAGTCTCCGAGAGTTCGAAAAGTTTGATGAATCTGCAAAAGCCACCAGAACCTGATTTTGATGCTCCTGATACAGAGGAACTAAGTTAAGTAGTAGTTAGAATGTTCTCTTATAATACCTAAAACTTCAGAACAGAATGTTAACTGTGAAGAGTCACATCAAGGTTATTTCTTCTTCTTCTTTTTTCTGGTTTAATCAACCTTTATGTACAAGAAAGTTCAATTCTGTCTTCACCATTCATTGTCTAAGCTAAGGATATCCGAGAGTTAAAACACCTGATTTTTTATGCTCTCTCTACAGATGAATTAATCCGATCACATAATTTTGATCGTATGACAAAAATCTGATCACATGACATTCTCTGATCAAAATTTAGAGAAAAACTGATGTATCCATTGGAACACAAAAACACTTGCATTTTAAATGCTTGTACTAGATATATATTGGGCTGAAAACTACTGACGCCCATTTAAAAACCCAAAATCAGTTGTCTGAACGAGATTCAGATTTCTTCGGAAAAATCAGCAAAAAAAAACATTAAAGAGCGAGAAAAAATCGTGAAAAAGGGCAAAAAGAAAAAAAACGTAAGAGAAATGGGAATAGTGGCAGGGATCGGAGTTCTATTGCCATTTCCGTTCTACTGGTGGCTATGGACGAATCCTCAGTCTTGGGTGAATCTCTGCGGACATGGAAGAGACCCATCGATGGTGATGGCGCGTGTTTCCCACGTGCTCAAGGCTGCTCAAATTCTCTCTCTCTTCTCCGTCGCCTCTCTCTCCTGGCCGCCTCCGCTCTACTTCTGGCCTCTCATGGCCTTTGGCCAGTTTCTCAACTTCAGGTCCAAATCTTTTGTCTCCCCTTTTTTCTCTGAATCTGTTGAATCGAATGCGTGAGATTAAGGAAGATAGGAATCTTGATTCCACCCTTTTTTTCTCTTTGTTTGAAATCGCATTTGTGACACCTTCCTTCATCGCGATCTAATCTCTACTGGTTGTGAAAGTTTTTGTCTTTTTCAAGTTTCAATCATCGAATCTTGTTTAGTCTCATCTCTTGTAAAGTTTTGATACTTAAAAGACCACATCTTTGCAAGGTATATCAACTGGTATGTGAAGCTGCGTGTTTTCTCGCACTAGAGAATACGATGTTTGAAGGGGAAGTGTGATGTGAACACTTGTATGTTCTGTAACTGAGCTCCCATATAGTAAAGTTTTGTTACTTAAAGGTCACATCTTTGCAGGGTATATCAACTGCTAGGTGAAGCTGGAACTTATTACGGTGTTAGATTTGGGAAGACAATACCGTGGGTTACAGAGTTCCCATTTGGAGTCATCAGAGATCCGCAGTATGTTGGGAGTATCATGTCTTTATTGGCTTGCCTCTCTTGGATTCCATTCCAATACATCCTCCTCTGGTGCCTCGGTTATGTTTTCATGATGCTTGTAGAATCAAAAGAGGATCCAAGTGCTCGTGCCAAATCCGTCTCCTGATTCCTCTGCATAACCCACTAGTTAGAAGAGCTTAACTTCCATGAAAGCCAGGTCCTTTATTTACTATCTTGTTGTTTGATTGTTTTCTTTCCGAGTTTTGTAACCGAACTGATTTCACAGTTCCATGGATAATGCTGCTGGAGTTTATACATTTTCTAGAGTTTTTTCGGTAAATCTACGGAATTGTTGTTGAAGCAAACTATGAGATTTATCTTGCCCTATATGCCAAAGCTAATGATGTTTTTCCAAGATTCTCCTTTATGATATCTGCCAGTTTTCTCCATCTTTGCGGCAACAATAGAAAATTTCGTCTCTTCTGCACTTGACTTGATACAAAGAATCAGTTAATGGCGCATAGAATATTTTGATCTGGCATCCGACGAATGAAGAAATGGGGTACTCACAGAGTTGTGGAATCTTTATTCGATGTTCTCCTTCTGCTTCTTATTTTCGTCGTCAACTGATAGAAAATTTAACGTCGGCTCAACAAAAAGAAGAGTATTTTGTTGGGATTTGTGTAAATCTGCCGATATGTTATGGTTTATCTTCTCTAGTCTGATCAATCAAGAAATGTATGAGATGTATATATTTCACCAGTCCTTCTCTGTCTTTTTTTTCGACGAGAATACAAAGTATTAGTAACCAATACGAAGGTGGATAAACAAAATCCGAGAAGTAGCTATTGTTTGGAGTGCCTTTCTTTGCCAACAAATGGGCAGTCTCATTTGATTTTCTTTTCGCATGGTTTAAAGAATGACTCTTAAACTTTGACCGCCAAAAATTAATATCATCTGTTAAGTTCATAATCGTTATATCCTCCTTAGGCGGCATACTTAATAAAGAAAACCTAAGTGAAATAAAATAAAACTGTGGAAAAGATGTAATAAATCAAAACTGTAGGAAATATGTGTAATAACTATAAAATATCGAATTATATGCAATTTATTCAAAACTGTAAGAAAATATGTAAAATAAAAAGTTACCAGAAGTATCTGTGATAAAGATTAAACCATACTAATTAGTTGTAATTATTTAAAACTCTAGGGACACGTGTGATAAACACAAGAAAAGAGGAAATCTGTAATAAACGTATACCATAGTGAAAATTTGTAATAAACAAAACCTCTTCTTTTCGTACATACTTAAATGTCTATTTTTGGACCTTGTATTAAAATGCATTTTGTCTATGGACTAATTAAAACTTTTTGTCTTGGTATGAATAAGACAAAAACATTCCTGATCTACCAAGTACTGTATAGCAATCATTAAGCAAGAAAATACTTGTTTAAGTTGATCGATCTCAAATTTCTTTCTGTATCGGGTTTAAGATTTAAGACCCGTTGTTTGGATCCGATCTATTGAAACTAAAAACAAATACAACAAATGGCCACACACACAAGAAAAAAAAAAACCTTTGACCCGCTTCATTCGGGTCGGGTCCAACTCCTAAGTAGAAAAAAAAAGCGGAGGAACCAAACGCTGACGTGTTAAACTGCGACTGGCTAACGACAACTTCTCTTCCTTCGTACTCTTCTTACTCTCTCTTCCTCAATTCGATTCCTTTCGTTATCGATCGGAAAAGTCATCTCTTTTTTTTTTTTTTTTGTGGAGCGTTTTTTTCTCGTCACTATTACAAAGATTTTCTTTTGTTTTTCGCTTTCAACTTTCTTATGTATGTAATAAACCTTACTCTTTCCCGTGATCTCTAAATGAGCAACTTGGACTCGCCTTGATTTCGCTACAAGATTTCTTAAGAATAGGGGGAAATTTAGGTGACGACTTTCATTTAAGTTTGTAGGGAATGCAGCTACTTGTTTTCTAGGGTTTTTCGAATTTGGTGTAAATTCTCTTGGGAATTGGTTTGAGGCTTGTTTGGGAAATTGCAATTCTCAGTCGTGTTAAAAGGAGTTGTGATTTGAAGAGAACATTTTTCTAAAAATCGGAGACTTTTAGGTCAATGTCGGCTCCATCGCGAGTCCGGTCAGTGGATTCCGCCGACCGAGAGTTCCGATCAGTTCTTGGTCTCGCCGGTAACAAGCTGCAGCAGAAACCGGTGACAAAGCCGGTGAAGAAGCCTGTGGCTGATCAAACGAAAAACCTAACCTTTACGGCGAAGAAAATGCCGCATTGCTCGCCTCTAAGCCCTTCAGCTCTGAGGCGAAACGGTGTCTCGATGAACGCATCGTATTCGTCGGATGCGTCGTCTTCGTGCGAGTCGTCGCCGTTGAGTATGGCGTCTACTTCGAGCGGGAAGAGGGTTTTGCGGCGGAGTGGGTCAAACTCTTCATCTTCACTGAGAAGGAATCTGACGGAGGAGAGAGATGAGAAGGCCGGTGATTGCTTCTCTGATGGTCGTAAGAGATGTGCTTGGATCACTCCCAAATCTGGTAACAATCATCATTTTCAGTCTCTCTTATTCATCATTTCCAGTTTTTTTTTTTTTTTGTAGGATTCAATTGCTTCCACATATTAGTTAGCAGCAATTTATGTAATTGATGATTGGGTTTACCTGTTAAGCGATTGAAGGGTCAGTGTCCTTCAAATGATTCTGAGTTTGAGTTAGTTTGAAGATTTGTGCTCCATTTCTTGGTAATTGAGTTTGGAAGTTAGTATCTGAATGTAGAGCTCAAATATTAAGTATTTTATTGCTTTTGTGATCAGGCAGATCTCTATTAAACAACGACCACAAAAATAGGAATTGTAGAGATTAGTTTCTTTGTCATTTCTCTATACTCTGATGGGCTAACGCATTCACTTTATCTCGGATTAAATCTTTTCCTCTGCTATGAATTGACCGATAATTTTTCTTTTTCTTTTTTTGTTTCTTGTTAAAGACCAATGTTACATTGCTTTTCACGACGAAGAGTGGGGAGTTCCCGTCCATAACGACAAGTACGCAATGTGTTCTCTTATACTGACCTCTTTTTTTTTTTGTTCGTTGCTGATCCGAGCGATGCTCTTTGTTCTTATAAACTCTCTTATTCGTTTAATTGGTTGCAGGAAACTTTTCGAGTTATTAAGCCTGTCTGGTGCTCTTGCGGAACTATCTTGGAAAGACATTCTTTCCAAAAGACAATTGTTCAGGTAACCAGAACCAAAGCTTTCGTGGTGTAACATCTTCACCTTCTTATAAGCTCAAATCTCAGAAATTCTTTTGCTTGATTTAAACAGGGAAGTTTTCATGGACTTTGATCCAGTTGCAATATCCGAGCTAACTAACAAAAAGATAACATCCCCTGAGATTGCTACCATCTCACTACTGTCAGAGCAAAAGCTACGGTCAATCCTCGAAAATGCAAACCAAGTTCGCAAGGTACTCTTAACATATGTGAACCTGATCAAACTTTGTGTGTTTGTAAATTAACATTTGTTTTTTTTTTAACTGTTATTGGTTTTCTCCAATCCAGATAATAGTTGAATTTGGATCATTTGACAAGTACATTTGGAACTTCGTTAACCAAAAGCCTACTCAGAGCCAATTCCGGTACCCACGCCAAGTCCCTGTGAAGACTTCCAAAGCCGAGTTGATTAGCAAAGATCTTGTTCGCAGAGGCTTTCGCAGTGTTAGTCCAACAGTTATTTACTCGTTCATGCAAACAGCAGGCCTCACAAACGACCATCTCATTAGCTGCTTCAGACACCAAGACTGCTTATCAACGGACGAGACCGGTAATTAAATGATACGATCCGAGGAGATCAACTCTGAAGATAAGGCAACAGGCGAATTGAGATCGTGACTTGGAGGGACAGATGCGATGATATTGGCGTGATGAAGCGATGGTGGCGCGATGAGAGATCGATGGAGGGAGATGGTGGTGTGATGCGGCGGATCGATGGTTTGAGATGGTGGTGGATGGATTCGTCGATGGATCGTGAGAGGGATGTGATGGTGATAGCAGAATCTCTTGTAAACAGATTAGTTTTAAAAGATTCGAATTTCAGAGTTTTTTTTAGTTCTCAGAAATCGAAAAGAGAGAAGAACACGTTAAAAGTTTGATCAAAATTCTTCACTGAATATGACATAGGCGATTTTCTCTTTTTTATAGACTAAGAGAGAAAATCGCAGCCCTAATAACAAAACAACATGGAGTTTGAAATAAAACAACAAGAAGTTTAATTTGAAAATAAAACAGTGAGGCGTCCCTTCTAAACCTAAGTGGTGCGCCTAAACAACTAGTGCATAAGTCATTGTGACTTAGCACGTTATTACCCATTAGTAACAACTTCTAAGTAACTCGACGTAGCAATGATTTCTGCCTCGTTAAAAACCTTGGAGAAGAACCTCCTTGCCTTCCAAAATCCTCACCAAGGAAAAGAGTACAGAATCATCACATAAGTTACCTAGTCATTGTTACTGGGTTCTTCATTCTTCAAGATAGAGATGTTGAAGATGTGAGCTCCAGCCTCCTGGTGTTCGCTGTCCTCCGTGGCAATGAGTGCGTGAGCCTCCTTAGCCATCTCTCTAGCTCTGGAACGAGTGATCCTGCCAGCTACCTCTGGTTCCTCCTCCTCTGAGCTGGTCACGATCATATCATCCTCTCCCTCTTGAAAAGGATTTGCCCTCAAATCTGAATCTGCAACAAAAGGAAGCAAGTCAGAAACATTGAAAGTATCAGAAACATCATACTTACCTTGAAGATCAATCTGATAGGCGTTGTTGTTGATTCTTTTGATGACTGCGAATGGTCCATCAACTCTGGGCATTAGCTTGTTCTTTCGCTCAGCTGGAAATCGCTCCTTCCTCAGATGGATCCACACCAGATTTCCTTCTTCGAAAATCAGTTCCTTTCGTCCTTTGTTGGCATGTTTCTCATACTGCTTTGTCTTCTTCTCGATGTTCTCCTTAGCCTTAGCATGTATTCTTCGGACCTGTTCAGCTTTCTCCTTGCCATTCAAGCTGCATTTTCCACTTAAAGGCAAAGGGATCAAGTCTAGAGGTGATTGTGGATTAAACCCATATACAATTTCAAAAGGAGAAAAGAGAGTAGCAGAATGCTTAGCGTGATTGTAAGCAAACTCGACATGAGGCAGGCACTCTTCCCACGTCTTGAGGTTACTTTTCACCAAAGTCCTTAGAAGTGTAGACAACGTTCTATTCACCACCTCGGTCTATCCATCGGTCTGAGGATGACACGTAGTTGAGAATGAGAGCTTGGTTCCCAGCTTAGCCCAAAGCGTTCGCCAAAAGTGTCCTAAGAACTTCGTGTCTCGATCTGAAACGATAACCTGTGGCATTCCATGCAGTCGTACTACTTCCCTGAAAAACAAGTTAGCTACATTCACAGCATCATCTGTCTTGTGGCTAGCGATGAAGTGAGCCATCTTGCTAAACCTGTCAACAACTACAAAAATAGAATCTCTACCATTTCTGGTGCGAGGTAAGCCAACTACAAAATCCATAGAGATATTAGTCCAAGGTTGAGAAGGAATAGGCAAAGGAGTATACAAACCGTGAGGCTGAACTTTACTCTTAGCCATCTTACATACGACACATCTAGAGCAGATTTTCTCAACGTCCTTCTTCATGTTCGGCCAGTAGAAGTGCTCTTGTAGCCCAAGAAGTGTCTTTGTGACACCGAAATGTCCAGCTAATCCACCTCCATGAGCTTCTCGTACCAGTAACTCTCGAATGGATCCTCGTGGTATGCACAATCGGTTACTGAAGAACAAGTATCCATCCTGTCTATAAAATTTCTCACAGGCAAACTTATGACATTTGGCATAGCTCTCAGAAAAGTCAGTGTCAGATTCATAAAGATCTATAATATGCTCAAATCCAATCAACTTTGATGTTAAAGTCGAAATAAGAGTGTACCTCCGGGATAATGCGTCTGCGACCACATTATCTTTACCTTTTTTGTACTTAACAATGTAGGGGAATGTCTCAATGAACTCCATCCATCGCCCATGTCTTTTGTTAAGTTTCTGCTGACCCTTGAGGTGCTTTAGAGACTCGTGATCGGTATGAATGACGAATTCCTTAGGCCATAAGTAATGCTGCCACGTCTGGAGAGCTCGAACCAATGCGTATAACTCCTTGTCATACGTGGGATAATTCAGCGTTGATCCTCCTAACTTTTCGCTGAAGTAAGCGACGGGCTTCTTATCCTGCATAAGAACTGCTCCAATACCTACACCAGAAGCATCGCATTCAATCTCAAAAGTCTTAGTAAAATCAGGAAGTACTAGTAAGGGCGAATTGATAAGCTTCTCTTTAAGGGCTGTAAAAGCCTGTTCTTGCGCCTCTCCCCACTTGAACCCCACGTCTTTCTTGATCACTTCTGTTAAGGGCGCGGCTATGGTGCTGAAATCACGAACAAAACGCCTGTAGAATCCTGCTAAGCCATGGAAACTTCGGACTTCTCCAATGTTCTTGGGGGTTGGCCACTCCTTGATAGCTTTTATCTTCTCTTCATCTACTTTAACTCCTCCTGCACTTACTACAAAGCCTAAGAAAACAATTTCGTTAGTGCAGAATGAACATTTAGATAAATTAGCAAAGAGAGATTGAGAGCGAAGAACATCAAGAACCGATCTGATGTGATCTAGATGTTCTTCCAAACCTTTACTGTAGATGAGAATATCGTCGAAATAAACCACTACGAACACGCCAATGAATGGTCTCAGGGCATGGTTCATTAATCTCATGAAGGTGCTGGGAGCATTGGTGAGACCAAATGGCATAACTAGCCACTCGTAGAGTCCTTGCTTTGTCTTGAACGCCGTCTTCCATTCGTCCCCTTCCTTCATTCTGATCTGATGATACCCACTCTTCAAGTCTATCTTAGAGAAGATTGTCGATCCACAGAGCTCATCCAGCATATCATCTAGTCTTGGAATCGGATGCCTATACTTCACAGTGATGTTGTTGATAGCTCGGCAGTCTACACACATCCTCCAGGAACCATCTTTCTTTGGCACCAACAGAACTGGAACCGCGCATGGACTCAAGCTTTCTCGGATATGTCCCTTGCTCATCAGCTCTTCCACTTGCTTCTGTAGCTCCTTAGTCTCTACAGGATTGGTTCGGTATGCTGGCCTGTTAGGTAAGGCTGATCCTGGTACCAAGTCAATCTGATGCTCTATCCCGCGAATTGGAGGTAGCCCTGGTGGAATTTCTACTGGAAAAACGTCCTTGTATTCCTGCAAAATCTCAAACATAGCACTAGGAAGCTCCTGTGAAGGGTTAGTACTAACAAGGGATTCCTTGTACACAAACATAAAAGTAGTCATTTCAGGATCAAAGAGTTTAGAAAATTCACTGTGGTTTATGTAGAGGCTGTTGGCGACTTTCTCCTTTTCCTTGAGCTTCATTTGAACTTGATCTTGATAAATCTCGGTAGGCGTGAGAGGTAGGAGGGTAATTTTGCGACCTTTGAACTCGAATGAGTGCTTGTTGGTGTAACCGTCGTGTATCACCCTACGATCTGATTGCCACGGTCTGCCTAGCAACACATGACTCGAACCCATGGGAATGACGTCACATAGAATCTCATCTTCATACTTCCCAATGGATAGAGAAACCCTCACTTGCTGAGATACGGTCAAGGCTCCACTATCATTCAACCACTGAAGCTTATACGGCCTTGGATGAGGAATAGTCTTGAGCTGGAGCTTCTTAACCATCTCTTCGCTTGCAGCATTAGTACAACTTCCTCCATCTATGATCAGGCTACAAACTTTTCCTTGAATGAAGCATCTCGTATGGAACAGGTTCTCTCGCTGACAAGTCTCTTCAGGTTGACTCTGAACACTCAAAGTCCTTCTGGCAACCAACATCTCGCCCACGGCAGCAGCTTCTTCCTCTTCCGCTGTTTCATATTCGGCCTCGGAATCCTCTTGAGGAACTATCTCTCCTCCCTCTTGTAACAAGAATACCTTCTTGTTTGGACAATCTCGAGAGTAATGTCCCATTCCTTGACATTTGAAACACCTCACATTGCTGATAGAAGTACCACCTCGAGGCTTGAACTCAGATTTAGCTTCTTCTTTAACTCCAGTAGAGGGCGGTTTGATGTCTCTGGAGTAAGCTGGTTTGCTGATCTCCTTAGGCTTAGGCACACTAGGCGTGAATGTGGACTTGAAATTTCGCCTCTTGACTTGAGATTCCACCAATTCAGCCTTATGCACCATCTCTTGTATATCTGCGAAATCCTGAAGTTCCACCTTGTCTTGAATTTCTCGGTTAAGTCCTCCAAGAAATCTCGACATTACCATCTCTTCGCCTTCTCGTAAATCTGCACGAATGAGCAAAGTTTCCAATTCTTGATAATAATCTCGAACAGACTTCGTACCTTGGACAAGGCGCCTAAGTTTGTTGAGTATCTCGCGCTGATGATGGGCTGGAACGAACCGCTTCCTCATCTGTATAACAAGCTGATCCCAAGTAGTAATCGGAAGTTCCCTCAGGCGATTTCTGGTGACTCCCAACTGCTCCCACCATAGAAGCGCGTACCCATGAAATTCTGAGACTGCAATCTTCACCTTGTTGAGCTCATAAGTTCCTTAGACCAGAAAATTAGACTCCATCTTCCTTTCCCAATCTAGATAAGCTTCGGGATCATTGGTTCCATGGAAAGGAGGATACTGGATTTTGATATGACGCAGCTGCTGACGTAGAGGATCATAATCTCGAGCATGTCCTCGGCCTCGATCTCGTCTCACAGTTTCTCTGCTATGATCAGAGGCTTCGTCCTCCTCATAGTATTCTGGATCTGATTCCAGGGTAACTCTATGTCCAGCAATATATTCCTCTCGGCGGTGCTGACGATCTACCCTTGGGCCATCTCGTTCTGCACCAGTAGGATTCCTCCTCGGATTAAACGTAGTCTCTCTGCCCCCAATTTGGCTTCGGTTGGACTTAGCTTTAGTCCTGGCTTCGGAAGGTGTTGGGTGGCGTGGAAGTTTCCGGGAGGATCCTATGTGCCCTTTACCCTTTGCTAGTCGCATTGCTTCCGAAGGAGTTGGGGTTTGAGACGACTCTTCTCCACTTGCACTGAGATCTTTGAGCAGATCACTCATCTTGGTCTCGAACTTGTCGTTGAGTTGTTCGATTTGTTGGGTGAGCTGAGTTGTTATGGCTTGATTCGATTCTTTGATTTGTTGAGACATTGCTCGGTTCAGAGCTTCCATTGTCTCAGCCGAAAGCTCCATGGTACCTAAAAAATAAAAAAATAAAAACTCGCAGTAACTTGTTCGAGAAGAAATCACGAAAACAGCAAAACTAAACTCATCATAAAAAAAAATGAACCGATCTCCACGAAATCTAAAAACAAACTCAAAGAAACTAATGAAATTTAACGAAAAATTTTTTTTTTGTGTACTAACTAACGAAAATTTTTTTTTTTTTTTTTTTTTTTTTTTTAAACATAACTAACGAAAATACAAGACTCTCTTATCAAATCTAAACGAAACAGCCGAAAAATACAAAGATTTTAGGCCTAAACGCAAACGACAACTCGAAGACTCCTAACGAATGCGAAACACGAAGACTATCAAAACCCTAGACACGATACGAACCAATGAAACTAAAAACTAACAAAATTTCGGACACCACACGACACAATGGATAAGCAGCAAAGACCAGATCGATGCAACCTAACGACGATATAGAAGTGATGCAGCGAAACAAACTAAAACGAACACGATTAACAAATATCAAAACAAAACGAGTGATACGATTCGATAACTCTTAACAAACCTAACGAAAACGATAACGAAACAAACCCTAGACACGAAACAATAAGAATCGACCTAATCAAGAATTCAAACGATGAAAGCAGGGATCGACACCAGCTAATCTAGGTTTAGAATCGAAAATTTCAAGGTACAGAGATTAGGGTTAGAGTTCGCTCAGCCTTTGGTTCAGAGTTGGTTCTGATACCACGTGATACGATCTGAGGAGATCAACTCTGAAGATAAGGCAACAGGCGAATTGAGATCATGACTTGGAGGGACAGATGCGATGATATTGGCGTGATGAAGCGATGGTGGCGCGATGAGAGATCGATGGAGGGAGATGGTGGTGTGATGCGGCGGATCGATGGTTTGAGATGGTGGTGGATGGATTCGTCGATGGATCGTGAGAGGGATGTGATGGTGATAGCAGAATCTCTTGTAAACAGATTAGTTTTAAGAGATTCGAATTTCAGAGTTTTTTTTTTAGTTCTCAGAAATCGAAAAGAGAGAAGAACACGTTAAAAGTTTGATCAAAAAATTCTTCACTGAATATGACATAGGCGATTTTCTCTTTTTTATAGACTAAGAGAGAAAATCGCAGCCCTAATAACAAAACAACATGGAGTTTGAAATAAAACAACAAGAAGTTTAATTTGAAAATAAAACAGCGAGGCGTCCCTTCTAAACCTAAGTGGTGCGCCTAAACAACTAGTGCATAAGTCATTGTGACTTAGCACGTTATTACCCATTAGTAACAACTTCTAAGTAACTCGACGTAGCAATGATTTCTGCCTCGTTAAAAACCTTGGAGAAGAACCTCCTTGCCTTCCAAAATCCTCACCAAGGAAAAGAGTACAGAATCATCACCTAAGTTACCTAGTCATTGTTACTGGGTTCTTCATTCTTCAAGATAGAAATGTTGAAGATGTGAGCTCCAGCCTCCTGGTGTTCGCTGTCCTCCGTGGCAATGAGTGCGTGAGCCTCCTTAGCCATCTCTCTAGCTCTGGAACGAGTGATCCTGCCAGCTACCTCTGGTTCCTCCTCCTCTGAGCTGGTCACGATCATATCATTAAAGAAAAACCAAGAATTACCAAGAAAGAATAGTTTAACACTCTCTGCTGCTTTGTTTGCTATTGTGTTGCGTTGGCAGTTGTTGTTGTTGTACAGATGCTTTTGTTGTTAAACTAGGAGAAGTTTCTAAGCCGAATGTATTGAAGATTGTATGAAAACGATTACATGTTACATTTCCTGTCTCACAAGGGATTATTATCATCTACTCTTTCTTTCATGCCAAATTTCAATCTAAAAACACTAACGAAATTTGAAACTAAACTACTTGTCGGTTTGATTCTGCTGATACAATCTTCCGGTAACAGCTGCGGCTAACGCTGCCGTAAAGTTAGGATCTTTTGTCAAGGAAGAAGCCATTTGCTCCACCAAGAGTTTCTGAACTTCTGGAAAGTCGATTCTTGATGTTGGGCTCATCACTTTCTTGGATTCAGTCAGATCAACGGTAGTCACAGGCTCAGCCAAGCTACTACTACTGTTGGCTGCAGCAGCTGATGGAGCCGCACCACCAAGAGGGACGTAGCGGTTTAAACCATTGTTTGAATCGATCTGCGATGGCATTGGATGGTTATGTTCACCCTCATAAGTTGCTACCAACACGGATTGGTCCTCTACACTTCTCTGAACCTGAAATAAAACCAACACAGAATCCAAATAAGATTAATATGAAGAGCAAATTGACGTCATTTGCAATTCAAATTTTTAGCGAAATGTCAATATTTGCTTCTTCTTATTATTGTTTACCTTCTTTTTGACAGAACAGCTTGGAGCACAGGCACATTTGAAGTAAGCTCTTGGGGATGGATTGTCTCTAGTCACTTTCTGTCCATATTTCCTCCATTGATATCCATCTTTCACAACCTATAATAATTAAGAAACAATTATTAAAATCAATATACTATATATATATATATGCATATTCTTGATCAAGATATGAACCAAATATGATAATTTCATGCATGAGAGGCTTACAAGGGTAGTGTCAGAAGCTTCGGTCTTGTAATAAACTCTTGAGACTTTCTCCTTTACAACAGTCTTTTCTCTCTGCTTCTTACACAGATACTGATCACTTTGATCCGTCGAGCTACTCTCCGACACTCCACCGATAACCGCCGAACTAATTGCGTCATCTCTCACCGGAGATTTGCGTTTCTTGGGAGGACTGATTTGGTCTCTCTCGGCCATGTTGCTCTTGTTAACATATTCCATCAACTGCTTCCTCAAAACGTTGTAATTGTCACACATCAAAGTTAGCATCTCCGAGAGCTTCTTGTTCTCAGCTCTCACTCGGTTTAATTCATCCACCAAAGCATTTGTATTCTGCAATTAATCATTTATATATATTGCATGAATTTAGTAATTATATCTTCAAATATTATTATAAAACATATGATCTGCTGGTTCAGTCAAATTTCAAGAACTCAACACATGAATTCTTAATCCTTTAAATACAAACAATTTCTTAAGAATACACATGAATTCTTAAGATATTTTTTTGGTTGAAGTTTATAAATTTATAAATATATAAACCAAGTATATCTAGAATTATTCGTATATATATTATATATATGTGGATATGCAAAAATATATGGATATACAACATATATGTACATCTGTAGATATTTGCGATCGTATATAAAATATATGTGTGTTCATATGGTAAAATGAAATACAAACAATTTCCACGGAAATGTGTAATTGAATATGTAAACGATCAAGAACACAAGAGAAGCATACCGTTGAATCTTCATCAACTCGCATACGAGTAACGCCGATAGTGAGATCTAAAGAAGTATCAACCAAAGACGACGATGAATACTGGTCCATATATGTATATATAGATGTACAATGAATCTTCGATCTGGTTCTTGTGTATGTATGGGAGTTCCGTAAGCTGAGGAAAAAGTTGGGAGATTCGTAATAAGAGTCGATCTTGGGTTCTTCTTTTTCTCTTCTGAGATCGTTGAAGAATGAATGATTTTGATACTTCTTTATATAAAGGACGTGTTAAGAGGAAACTAGGTGGAAAGAGGAGAGAGAGGAGCATGTGCTTTTCATTTTCATGCAATAAACTAATCGACTTATCAAATTCCTTTCCTTTTACTTTTTTTTTGTCTTTAAGACACAACTCGACGCTCTCGGGTCCACTCGCCCACGTATTTGGTCCAATCCTTACCAGTTTTCCAACTAAACTTAATCTCAGTTTTCAATTCTTTTCTTGATTGTTTGTTGACTCCATTATTTATTTGGTCCAATCCTTATTGATTCTGCTGTCTACAAAATAATATTATAATTAAGATTCGATCCACGTTTTCTTTGAGATGTTAGTTATTATTGATTTATTCCTTTCGTATAAACTATACACATTTTTCCCGTCGACTATACTATATTGTATATTAAAACCCTTATATATATTAATATATATATGAAACAAAAACTATTTCCATCGTTGGCAAAACAACAAAAAAATTACATCATCTTTTCCCTTAAACAGCACCTAACTGGCTAACTAACGTATGTACGATTTAGAAATTCTTCGGTTCATTTGGATAGTAAAGAAACGAATATTAAATATTTGTCAAACAAGCTTAACTGTGGTTCAATACATTTCATGGATTTAACTAATAGACCTAAATATTACTAATATACTATACAGTAATTACAATGCCTTTTAAATAACTTAATACATAAAGGAAAGATTACGAACCCTTTTAAATAACTTCATACATAAAGGAAAGATTACGAACGACATTTAAGATAAAAAGAAATGATTGATTGAGGGTTTATAATTATGAAATGTAGTAAAGGCGTGCTCAATTAGAAGTTTAATATATTCTTTCTTTTTTTGACATGTTTAGTATTCTAGTATTTAATAATTAATTTGTTACGAGTTGACGAATAAAATAATACTATTAGTAGGGTGTGCAGAACGTGGCTTATATGTTTGAATGTTAGTCACTATATTTAATAATTGGGAGATTCTTCGGTAGTGATCACAAAGTATTTTATCATGCAAACGTGTGCCTTGTTGGGTCAAAGTCAAGCCGACACGGCTTTTCGAAAACCATTGGACAGTTCACGATAGTGTCTGTGGTGATGAGTCTTGTTTATCAAATCCTGCTTTCCTTCTTCTTCCTTTTGGAGTTTTGGTATTTTTTTATATATATAAAAAAAAGAGTTTACAAAGGCATTGTATTTAAGGTTTTTTTAGTTTTAAATTTGTTTAGTTTTTTCTTATAATGGACAAATAACAAAAATATAGTCTTTATATCTTCGTGTATGGCTCATTAAACGTACAGTATGCAGTATATATAAAATGATACATTCTTAATTCCCTTGATCCCTCCACAGATTTCGTTCCACAATCGAGCTTAAATGATATCCGATATGTGTACATACATACATAAATATATTATTTATACACGTACAAATGAAAAATATAAAAATCTCATGCATATCGTAGGAAAATTCATTTTGAAAATTTTGGCCGTTTTGTGTATTATGTTTGTTTCGACATACTAAATTTATAGGGTTCTATCTTTTAGTACATTGTATATGTATGATCAAGTCTATAAAATAAATATTTTCGAGGCCACGATGAAATCCTTAAGAAAATGTTACTTCTGAAATATAACAACTTGAAAAAAAAAGAATCCGGGAGTAAGTTTAGGATTAAGTGTATAGCTTTCAAAAACGATCTTAAAAAGAAAGTCGATCGAGATTTAGAACTAGTCATCGACAATATCTCTCTTTTCATTCAAACCCTGATCTAAAACGACATACTTTCTCCCTAATCAGAACTCAGAAGTAATTATGATATATATGTTTTAACAAATATATATATATATATATTCAACCTAATTTTTTAATAATTTAAACGAAATCTTGTTGCAATTGAGGAAGTCTATAGCCTATAAAGTATAAACCCTATACATTAATTAAAATTACAAACAACGTAGCTGACGTTTTCCGGTTAGAAGATATTGTTTTTTTGGGTCAAACATTATCCATGTTTGAGAATGGATCTAAAAACAGTGTAGCCGGCCAAAAAAAAAAAAAAAAAACCAGATTGTAGAGAGAAAAAAAAAAAGATTTTTAGTCGGTGATGGGATTTTGGTTTTGGAATGGACGTCACTGGTGATGAAGTCAGGAAAATGAAAAACTTTAAAAATGAAAACACAAGTGGACAAAAAAATTCAAACCAAAAGCAAAACTATTCTCGTCCATCCAAAAGACAGAACAGACGCAGCCAAGTAACGAAAGTGCAATTTTCCTGTATTTTAAAGACTTTGACCTCTTTGACCTCTTTGACCGTTGACCACGTTGACTCGAAACATCCTTGCACACGACTACACGAGTGGTTTGGTTTGCTTCCATTTCTCTCCCTGCCTGTCTTCTTCTTCTTCCGGTCTACACCTCTCTTTATAAAGGTTTTTTTATTTACTTGGAATCGCCATCCAGATTTATTTTTCAAAATTGCACGATTTATGTTTTTTTTTTGTCAAGCATGATTGAGATATAAGATAACAAAGGATATTAGAGCATCTCTGTTTTATATGGGTATAGCAACATTTAGACGAAAAATAAATATCATTATTTTATTAGATGGATATCCTAAGTTGTTGAGAAACCTATCCAAAGATATCTAAAATAAAAAATTTTGAGATAATTTTAATTGAATTTCTTAACTATTTGACATACCATGTGAGATAATATATCTTAAATTAAATAAAATTACCTTTTCTTCTCAAATGTTGCAATACCATGTGAGATACCAATTGATTGAAGTGTTCTTAGATCCGTACATTTTCTTAGACTAGAATAAGAGAGTATCTTAATTCATACTCAAATTTGAGTTATATATTCTTTTATTTTGATTTAGTATAAAGCTTTTAACTTATTAACTATTGGAATATTCCTAAGTATATGTTCGGATAAGATTGTATCTTAGATTTGATGTTATCCTAGATTTGAGATTATCTCCTATTGTTAAGGGAGTTGCTTTGTATATAAAGCCTTGTAAAGTTAACGATGAATGCAACAGAGATTACACAACTTGACATGGTATCAGAGCAACTAAACTGATCCAAGTTCATTTCTCTTACGACGCTCTGTTCGTCTCTTATTTTCTTTTTTTATCAAACACACACATCATGACCGACACAGACACTTCAACAGCTACCTCTCTTGCTCCTACAAGCGACAAGCTCGTCTCTCCATATTACCTTCATCCCTCAGACCATACGGGGCAAGTGCAAACTCCGATATTGTTAAACGGAGCCAACTATGAACGATGGGCGAAGCTGATGATTAACTCTCTTCGCGCCAAGAGAAAGTTAGGGTTTATTGACGGAACCCTAAAGAGGCCGTCCGACGATTCTGACGAGGCAGAAAAGTGGGACATGGTCAACGCTATGATCATTGGATGGATCTATAGCAGTGTCGAACCGAAACTCCGACCCTCGATTTCTTTGGTGGAAAGCGCGACGACCATGTGGTCAGGTCTTAGAAGACGATTCTCGGTGAGCGATGATACTCGCATTCATCAACTTCAGGCGGATATTACGGCGTGTAAGCAAGGAGGTGACTCCGTGGAGGAATACTACGGAAAACTTAAAGTCTTATGGGATGATCTTGCTGATTTTGACAAAGGGTTCTCCTGCTGCTGCAAAAGCTCCGACTGCTCTTCCATGGTGGCATCCGAGAAGAGCAAGGAAAAGGTCCGAGCACATCAGTTTCTCATGGGACTCGACAACTCCCGCTTTGGAACAGCACGCTCAAATATTTTGAGCAGAGGCACTGACATGAATCTGGAACTCATCTATTCTCAGATCATACAGGAAGAGCGACACATTGCAGCAATGCGGATGACGGAGGAACGTGTACCTGCGGTGGGTTTCTCAGCCACCACATCATCACCACCTTCGTCGTCTCGACAGCCACAGGCGGCAGCTAATCGCTTCGTTCGTCCATCAACGGCTTGCTCACATTGTGGCAAATCAGGGCATGAGGCAAGTAGCTGCTTCCAGCTCATCGGATTTCCGGAGTGGTGGTCCGACAAATCCAAAGCCCAAAGCGGTGATTCAGGCAGAGGCAGAGGAGGACGTGGTCAAGCTAATCCAAACAGAGGACGTGGAGGCCGTGGCTCCGGTTTTTGATCCAACAATGCTCAGGTCGGAGACACAACAGACACTCCCGGTATTCCCAGTTTCACTCCGGAGCAATGGTCGTCACTAGCTCAGTTCATGAACTCTCAAAAACAGAGTTCCTCCTCGGAAAAGCTTTCGGGTAAGACAAAAAAACTTTATTTTTTTGGCAAAAGCAGTCGCTTTGACATTATCATCGATTCTGGCGCCTCCCACCATATGACAGGCGACATCACTTTGCTAACCGATGTGGTTACAATTGATCCCTGTCCGATTACCTTGCCAAATGGGCACATCACCTGGGCATCCCAATATGGCACCTTGAGCCTTGGTGGAAGACTCATCTTACGTCGAGTTTATTATGCGCCACATTTATCCATTACATTGATCTCTGTGGCTCAACTTCTTGATGATGTTGCCAGTTTTGTATTATTCACAAAGAAGTTTTGTTTGATACAGGACCAAACTTCGAAGACTTTGATTGGTGCGGGTGAGGCGCATGACGGGGTCTATCATTACACCGGTGCGGTTGCAGTTCGAGCAAACTCTGCTAGATAGTTGGGTGATCGAGAGCTGTGGCATCGTCGGCTAGGCCATCCGTCAGCAAAAGTTCTTTCAGTTTTATCGGATTTATGCAGTTTTTCTAGTAGTTCCAATGGTTTTGAAAAGGCTTGCGACGTCTGTGTTCGAGCCAAACAATCTCGTATTAAATTTTCAGAGAGTTCCAATAAAGCTGGTGCAATTTTTTCTATGATTCACTGTGATCTTTGGGGACCATATCGAGAACCATCCTCATGTGGTGCTCGCTATTTCTTGACCATTGTCGACGACTTCTCA